TCTCAACCTTCCGCTGTTGCACCAGTTCATGAACGCGGCCGCTGCAGTACCAGCCGTCACTGCACTGGAAGCCAACGCCATCAATGGCATGCTTGCGTGGCTCGAGTCCAGATACCCCATGCCGACACACCGCATCAAGCTCCTCGGTTTGCACCACCGCCCGGCCCTGGACCAAGATCCCTCGCAGCACCGCGCTCTACACCACCAGCCCATGCAAGTGGATCCCGTTAGCTGCGCGGCTCTGGAGCTGTTTGAACCGGTTCCAGGCAACGCCGCCTCCTCCACTCTGTTTGCGACCATCAAGCACACACAGACGTCGATGGGAGGTCGATTGCTGCGACGGTCGCTCATGGAGCCCCTGACCGACATTGAGCTCATTCGCAAGCGGCAAGACCACACTGCCTTCTTTATGTTTGACGAACCGCGTCGCAACCGCGTTCGATCCACGTTTGGCGGCATCAAGGATGTTCCACGCACGCTGGGCAGCATTTTCCGGCACGGCGTGAAGATCTGGCGGTTTGCGAATCACGTTGCAGACCTCATCGACTCGCTCGCGGCTGCTGCGGGCGTTGCGACCACCATTCGTGAGCAGTTTTCGTTGCCCAATAGTCCCACGTTGGACGCCGAGCTGCTCAAGCCGCTCGAGGATGCGCGTGTTCAAGCCCTGTGCAAGTATTTGTCAACGTACGTTGGACTGGCTGAGACAGCGACTGCATCGCTTGCTGCTGCTGCTGCTACGACGTCTGCAACCTCAGCTCCCAGCGCGTCGGCAAAGAAATCATCCTCTTCAAGCAAGCGCAAGAAAGCCTCGTCACCAGCCAACGCCGCAGTCCCTGCCGTGCCCGTCGCTGCTGGCAACGCCGATCTCGCCATGGATGAACCGCAAGATCCTGACGACGAGGAGCGACCCCGCTATGTCTTGGTGTCGCAGCGCATCCAGGAACTGCACTCGAAGCGAGCCTCGTACCTTGAGGACTTGAACCAACTCGTCCAGGGCTACTCGACCATCGATCGCGGCATGACACCTGCCATGCTGGTCGACGCTCGCGACGGCTGCCTGATTGTCAGCGAGTTTGCAACACCAGACATTTTGAAGAGTTCGCCAGATCTCACCATTGTGCGCACCAGTGCCCGGGCACCGCGCGACGCCTTCTCTCCCTACGCTCGGCTCAACCCCGGAGTTAAGCGACCCGCTCTGAGCGGTCGCGTCAGTGTCCTGTCTTCTCCTCGACTGCAAGAGTTCCGGCGCCAGCATGTTGAAATGGACGACGAAATGCTTCAAGCCCAGGAGCAGGTGCGGCAAGACATTTGCAGCAGGATCCAAGCCGAAATCGCCGTGATCACGGCCGCAAGCGAGTCCATCTCGCAGATAGATGTGGCCATCTCGCACGCGCACACCGCCCAACGATACGACTGGACACGCCCGACACTGGTCTCCGCGAGCGGTGTGCTTGACATTCGTGGCGGCTTCCACCCCGTCCTCGATGCGCTGCAGATGAAGGATTCCGCAACCGCCAACCAAGTGAGCTTTACGCCCAACGACTGCGTCATGTCCGTCGCCGAGCCTGCCCGCGGCGTCCAAGCTGCTCCGTCACCAAACAACACGGCCCCTGCGCGAGCTGCCCACTGCTGGATTATCACGGGCGCAAACATGGGTGGCAAGTCGACCTTTATGCGTCAGAACGCCCTCATTGTGCTCCTCGCGCAAATGGGCAGCCACGTTCCAGCGCTGTCAGCTACCATCGGCATTGTGGATCGGCTGTTTACGCGTGTGGGCGCCTCTGACAACCTGGTCAAGCACAAGTCGACGTTCATGGTCGAAATGTCCGAGACGGCTCGCATTTTGCGCGAGGCGACGAGCCGCTCGTTTGTGATTGTGGACGAGATTGGACGCGGCACGTCCACGACGGACGGCGTTGCGCTGTCCTGGGCGGTGCTGTCGTATCTGCACACGAAAACGCGGTGCCGAATGCTGTTTGCCACGCACTTTCTCGAAGTCGCGCAACGGTGCCAGGAGCACCCGCAGCTGCTCCGCAATGCGGCCTGTCACATGGTGCGCGTGCTTCACTCGACCGAGGGACAGCCCAGCTTTACCCATCAGATTGTTCCGGGCGTGGCGCTCCGTTCCTACGGCATTGAGGTGGCTGAGCTTGCGGGGCTTCCAGCTGCTGTTGTGGACGAGGCGCGCTGGATTGCCGGCCAACTCCAGCAAGAGCAGGAGGCACGCAAGGGCGTGTTTTCCACCCTGAGTGATCACCATGTCTCTGGGTAGGGTTGGTTAAGGGGGGTGTCGTGCGAGTTGAGTGTTGTTGTTCCATGTATTCCGTTCAGTGATGATATTCCAATCCATCAAAGAGCGGCGTTCTTTTGTTTTTGACAATCTGCCGTTCCCACGCCATTGCTCGCATGCTCGGTTGCACAGTCGGGGGTTTGCTTTTGGGTTGACCGTCGAATTGGCAGCGCATCCCTGCAATCAAACCAAGCAAGAAGCAAGTCACGCACATTTTCAAGGTCTCGCTTGGTTGGTTCAACATTGAGCAACATTGCGCAGCATTGAGCTTTTGTGTGTGTTTGAACTCGCTCGTTTGGCGCTGCGCTGCGATTGGTCCAACATCCGACCCTCGTGAGTTTCGCTCTTCCATCGCTTCGTGTCTCCGAACATGACGCCGCACTCAATCTGGATCCACGGACGTCGGCCTGCAAGCGGCGACAGTGACACCGAGGATGCAATGTCGGGGAGGGGGGGGGGTTCGAGGAACGAGAGAGAGAGAACCAAAACCAAAACTCAACCCTCCGTGCCGTTCACCATCATTGCCCCAGCGACCCCTCGGATGTCCTCGACCACAGACGGAAGGCAAGCCAGCCAGTCACAGTCACCTTCCACGCAGTGAGCGACAGAGTGCGACGGAACGAGGCGAGACCGATGCACACATGGGAAAAAGGCAGCAAAACCCGCTCGATTTGGCGCGCTTCAGTCTTGCTTTCTCAGTTGCTTCATCGTCAATCATCAACCATCATCAACCATCAATCATCAATCATCAACCATCATCAACCATCATCAGAATCACTTCTTGAAGCGTCGCTCTGTGGCTTGAGTTTGACACAACATCGCATCATTGTAAGTCGCCGCTTCACAACCCCCCACTTTCGCAGCCACACACACAACGTCGCGACCAAACAAGCATCCACGACTCGGTCAAATCTCGACACTGTCCACACGACTGTCAAAAAGGCCACGGCAACGAACAAGTTCTGGCCATGCGACATGGATTACCAAAGCTGCAGACGCTGTGTGTGGGAAGAACAGCCGCAAAGTGTGTTCCCTCTAAACCCCCCTCTGGACCATCATGCACACCGACACAAACCGACCATGGGTGGACAACGTAGAGACACGTCCACCTCACTCATCAGATACTGACCCTTTTGCTTGCTTGCTTACTGGTTTGTTTGTCTGTTTGTCTGGTTGTTTTGGCTGCATCTCAGAAAAAACCACGCAACTCAGAGTTTCACAGTTTTCTACAGTTGACCAAAAAACAAAGCAAAACCCAAGCAATCCATTGATCCGACTTGAACAGCAAACATGTCCAACGACACCAACGAGTGCTCGTTCGAGTCGGTCGACGACTACGACCAACGGTACAACATTGCTGCCATCTTTATCATCCTGGTGACAAGCATGATGGGCACACTTTTGCCAATCCTAGCCAAGCGCAATCCCACTTGGATTTGCTTCCGAAGCCCGTTTGTGTTCACCATTGGCAAGCATGTCGGCACTGGCGTTATCATCGCACTGGCATTAATCCACCTGCTCACTCCCGCATACGAGGCGCTTGGCAACCCGTGCTTGCCGGCCGCGTTTGCAGAGGACTACACATTCGCACCGCTGTTTGCAATGCTGGGTGCGCTCGTGATGCACTTGTTTGAAACACTTGCCAGCATGCGCGACCTGAAGACTGCGCTCAAGTCTGAAACCTCGCAGCCGGGCATGGTTCAGGTCAGCGCCTCCGACAGCGATCCCGAGCGTGGACAGAATTCCAGCTGTACTGCCACTGCAACGCCCGATTCGCTGCTGTTCGCTCATGGCCACAGTCACGGTGGTTTGCTTGGCAACAGCTCGGCAGAACGCACGATCGGCGCTTACGTGCTCGAGTTTGGGTTGACTGCGCATTCCGTCATCATCGGCTTGACCGTCGGTGTCTCGTCCGTCACCGACTTGGAGACGCTGATTCCCGCGCTTGTCTTCCACCAGTTTTTCGAGGGCATTGCGCTTGGTGCACGGCTGGTCGAGTGCAACTTTTCCAAGCTGAACGAGTTTCTGCTTGCGTTCATTTACTCGGTGTCGGCTCCAGTTGGTATCGCCATCGGCATCGGGATTGTCAACTCTTACAATGAGAACGGCGTCACGACCAACCTCGTGCAGGGCACCTTTGATGCTGTGAGCGCCGGCATCCTGTTGTACGTCGGCTTTACGCAAATGCTGGCGATCGAGTTTCCTCGTGATTTTGCCGCTGCCTCCTCTCGAGCACGGCGCGTTGCGCTGTTTGTTGCGATGTGGGTGGGTGCCGGCATCATGGCCTTTATTGGCCGGTATCTCTGAGTGCACATCTGCACGCACATGCATTGATCTGAGCAGCCTTGCTCTTCTTAGAAAACCGTGTCTTGTTGTCCTTAACTTTTGATAGATTATTATAATAGTGTAGATTAGCATGACAACTTCCATATTTGGGGCTTCTGCTCATTTCTCAAAATCTCGCAACTTCTCAGACAACAGCGCTCCAAAATGAGCAGCGCTGACGATGCGACGACGGGCGTTCAGCGATCCAAGCGACCGCGCGAGGACGACGATCAAGAGGATCAAGATCACGATGGAGCTCATGCTCTGGCTCTGGAGCCGAACGGGGACGCAGCCGCGCAACGAGACGGCAGCGAGACGACCGCCTCGACGACGACGACGACGACCGCCGATGCCGCAAGCAATCCAAGCACAGACAGCGCAGCCAATGGTGCAGCAGTGCAGACTGAGACCGCGGGAGCAACGCGCCAACGCAGGAAACGCGCTGCGTGGGACCAAAGCAGTGACGCTGCAGTCAATCCCAGTGGAGTCAGTGGACCCAATGGAACCAGCGCATCGCTGACAGCAGTCGCATCGAGCAATCACAGCGCATCTGCTCAGAACGCTTCAAGTAGTCACCACCTGCCGCTGGCCGAGGCGGATCTCTCCGCAGACCAGGCCGAGGCACTCGAGCGCGCGCGCCAGTTTGCGCAGCAGCTCACGGTGCAGTTCCACGCCGCACAACAGCAGCATCTGCTGCGACAACAGCAGCTGCAGCAGGAGCAGGCTGCCAAGATGAAGCAGCACGCCGAGGCGCAGCAGGTTGCCCTGCGAACGCGCGCCATCACGTTGATTGGTCGCGTGTACGTTGGCTCCATTCCGTTCGAGGCCGGCGAGCGGGAGGTGCGCGCAGCCATGTCCGAATGCGGCCCAATCCGCTCAGTGAGCTTTGTCAACGATCCCGTCGCACCCACGCGGCACAAGGGCTTTGGCTTTGTCGAGTACGAGTATCCCGAGTCTGGCGACATTGTGCTCAGTCAGATGCACCACGCGCGGATTGGCGATCGCCAGCTCAAGTTTGGCACGCCGAACGCTCCGCAGCCAATGCAAGTGCTGATTGAGGAGCTGCGCAAGGAGGGCTCCACCTTCCCGCACGTCTTTGTCGCGAACATTCACCCCGAGCTCAGCGAGTCGGACATTCGCGAGGTCTTCCAGTCGTTCGGTCCCGTTGCCTACTGCATTTTGATGGTCGACTTGGTGACTGGGCGGCACAAGGGCTGCGGCTATGTCCAATTCGAAAGCTTGCAGACGGCCAAAGACGCAATTGCGGCGCTCAACCGACTGGATTTGGGCGGCTTGCTGTTGCACGTTGTCAAGGGCGCTCACTCGCCGTCCAACATCCAAGGCTTGACGACTGCACAATCTGCGCAAGTAACGAACGTGCTGGCTGGACGGACTGCCAATGATGGTGAGTTGGTGTTTTTGGCGATCTTGCTTGGGTGTTTGTTCTTTTTGTTTGTTGCTGTTGGATTGGACTGAAATGCTGCAATCTGCAGCTCTGCGAGTGAAGGCTTGGACTTGTCTTGCACTCTTGTCTCACCCGATCCACCTTTGCGCAACAATTCTGTGATAGGAGTACTGGCTTCAGCTGCGGCGCAGGCAGCAGCAGCAGCAGCGGCGCGCATTACTGCTGCTCGACAAGAAAGCACAGCAGCAGCAGCAGCAGCAGCACCAACAACCAATGCACAGGCACCAGCATCCAGTGGCGAGGACATGCAAGACAAACTGCGAAGACTCCAGTCGGAAACGCAAGCGTCCAGCGCTTCGCTTCGCGACGAGGAGAATGTATCCATCAAGGGCAATCAGGTCTATGCGATGCGTTGATGCAAAAACTAGCGCGTGGCACGACGGTGAGATGCAGCTGTTTGAGTCCTTTGTGATTGGTTCTGGTCACTCACTCACTGTTCAAATGGTTTTCTGTACCCTGTACTCCCCTTCCTCGACACAGAGCTCTCACATTGTCGCACTGCTCAACATGATCGACGCAGACGAGATTGACAGCATGCTGGAGCAGGAAGTTGGTGGCGAATGCTCCAACTTTGGCACTGTCGAACGCGTGGTGGTGCATGTCACTTCCAAGAATGACGTGGCGATATTTGTGCAGTTTGCGCAGCTGGAAGGTACGCGAGCGGAGATGGCGCCAAAGTAGAGCAGGGGGTGGCAATCTTCTTTCGTCGCTCAGCAGTTCTCTCACCCGACCCCGTTCTTGTATTGTGATGAACAGAGGCTGATGCAGCAGTGCTCGCGCTCAACAATCGGTGGTTTGGTGGGCGACAAGTGCGCGCGCAGCTGTACGACGAGGGCCAGTTCCAATCGCGCCAGCTCTCCCCTTGAGTTTGGTCTGTCAATTACAAAGAGATGCCGAATGCTCGACGATTTTGTCTGCTTTGTAACAATGGTGCTGCTGCTTTGTTTTTTTGATCTGGTTGCTATTTTGTTCAAACGTCTCGACCAACAAAGCAGTCACAACAAGCTGTTCCAGACCAGCGCAAGCACACACGTTTCGCACACAGAACATATGGTGGACTGTCGCTGGCGGGGTCGGAGATCTCCTTGAGCTTGGAGGCGAGTGCGTCCGTGTTGCGCTGCTTGATGGCAAAGATGACCGAGATGAATGCATTGGAAGCAAAGTCAAACTCGACAGCCACTTTGTTCGTTTCAATCCAATCTCACCCTTACATCCCTTCCCTTCCTTCAATCCTTCGTTTTTTTTGGTGATTGTACATGTACCGTTCTTTCCTTTGAGTTTCCGCTTGTCCACTCATCTTATCGTCATCACCGTCTTCAATGCTTTCGGTCGGTCGGATTTCGTTGTGCCGCTCTTTCCAGGCACCATCGACTCGACCCGTCCTCGCCGCCGTCGCCCGCGCGTTCTCGTCCAGCGCGCAGTCCACTGCCACTGGCTCAATGCCCATCGCACTGAGCCCTGCGCAGCCGCCGCTCACGAGCACGAGCCATCCGCACGTCCACCGCTCAGCCGCCTTTGCCCGCCTCGATCCCGCAGTCCACCTCCCGGAACTGACCCAACTCGTCGGCGGTCCTGCTGGCGTTGCTCCTCAGGACGCAATGGACTTTCACAACACGGACTGGCAGGGGCGCTACCGGGGAGCATCGAGTCTTGCCCTCCTCCCGTCCACCCCACAGCAGGTCGCTGCTGTGCTCAAGTACTGCTCGGATCACCAGTTAAGATTGAAGGATTATGCTGAGAGACGCGTTTTTTTTTCGTTTTCGGATGTTGTGCTTTGATTGCTGGTGGTTGGTTGGAGGGATTTGGTCCAATGTAGGTGTGGTTCTGAGATTTTGCGCTGGTTGATCGGCTTCTTTGCAACAACAGACTCGCGGTCGTTCCCCAAGGCGGTAATACTGGGCTCGTTGGTACGCATGCTTGTTTCTGTGCCACCTGCACCAAGTGGTTTGTTTGTGCTTTACTCACGGAATCGCTCTGCAGGAGGCTCTGTGCCAGTGTTTGACGAGATTGTCGTTTCGACAGCTCGCATGAACAAGATTCGCTCGTTCAATGCTGTTACCGGTGTGCTCGAGTGCGATGCAGGATGTGTGCTGGAAACGCTCGACAACTATCTACTTCCTCGCAACCACACCATGCCTTGGGATCTGGGCGCCAAGGGGAGGTATGAAATTTTGCGCTGCGTTTTTTTCGGGAACATGAGACAATCTATTTCGCTCATCACTGCTCGTCTCCAGCTGTCATATCGGCGGAAACGTTGCCACCAATGCAGGTGGGCTCCGCTTGCTGCGGTACGGGTCGCTCCATGGATCCATCCTTGGTCTCGAAGTTGTAAGATTTTGTTTTGCTCGAGTTTGGAAATCGCCGCACCTTTGCTTTTTGCCTGACACTGTGTCTGTTGTACTTGGAAGGCTCTGACCGATGGATCGATCTTGGACACGATGTCGAGTCTTCGAAAGGACAATACGGGTTTGTTTTGCTTCATTTGGAAACAAGGGAGCCGTTACCGCCTGAGTTTCGTCTAACTTGAGCTTCTCTCTGTGCTCCTTCCAGGCTACGACTTGAAGCAGCTCTTTATTGGGTCGGAAGGTACTCTGGGTGTGATCACAGGCGTGTCGGTTTTGACTGCCGCCAAGCCCAAGGTGAGTGTCGCATTGATGCCCTAGCCAATAGAATTCTTCTCTGACGGCCTGCGTTTCTGTCCCTTTCACCAGTCTGTTCACGTCCTGTATATTGGTTGCGAGTCATTTGCCACGGTTCAGACCATCTTTAGCGAGGCAAAACAACGGTTGGGTGAGATCCTGTCTGGTAAGCTGAGCTGAAGTTGTCCTGAGAGCGGCACGGGCTGTCGGAGCTTCTCATGGCAACTGCTTTCGTTACTTCTGTCAGCTTGCGAGTTTCAAGACGCACCCTCTCTCAATCTGGTCCTCCAGTACATTCCCAATACTCGGAACCCCCTTTCTGCGTCGCATCCATTCTACGTGCTGATTGAGACGTCAGGCTCCAATGAGACTCATGATCTTGAGGTGAGGGATCGAGCGTTTGAATGGCAAGGTGGTGCTTTTCTCACCGCTGACTTTTTTGGCTGTCCTATTTGTCTTTGACAGAAACTGGACAGCTTTGTCGAATTTCTCTACGACAACAAAATCAGCAGCGATGCCGTTGCTTCACAGGACATTTCACAAGTTAAAGCCATTTGGCAGCTTCGCGAGAATGTCGCGAGTGCCATGAAGCGACAAGGCGAGGTTTGGAAGTACGACCTCTCGTTGCCCATCAGTCAAATGTACCCGTTGGTCGAGGAACTGCGCACTCGACTTCCTCGGGAGCCCGGGGTCCTTGCCGTTGGATATGGTCACCTTGGCGATGGTACGTATTGACCTGTATGGCGTAAATGTTGCGGTGAGGACCATGCAACTACACTGTTCGTTGTGTTCCCTCCAGGAAATGTCCACATCAATGTGGTCGCGCCCACACGCTCGGAGAGTGTCCACAATGCAATCGAGCCCTTTATTTACGAATGGACCCGTAAGTGGACGCCCACAACGAGTCGGTATTATGAATTGTTGGATGCAAGTTCTCAATTTTCCGCTTTCCTTGAATCTCGAACAGAAAAGCACCGAGGTAGCGTCAGTGCCGAGCATGGTCTTGGATTCACCAAGGCGCATTGCATTGGATATTCCAAGCCACCGCGTGCCATTTCGCTTATGCACAACATCCGATCGCTCTTTGATCCCAAAGGCATTCTCAATCCTTACAAGGTGCTGCCCCACGACTAATGCCACAATTCCGAATGTTTTGAATTGTTCAATATAACAAAAAAGAGCAAGAACTAGCGGCTTGAACAGATTGCAACAAAAATAACACCCTACAACGATATATTTTAAAAGGCGCAGGTTGACTACAACTCATCGTGACCCTCAATGTCGTCTTCGACCTGCTCAAGCTTAAAGTTGGGGTCGCAAGCGGCCGGAGAAGTGAACTCGAGCACGTATTCGCACCTAAGGAGCAAAGTCGGAAAGCAAGCGCCAAATGAATTCATCACGGTTTTCGAAATTTGAGACGATTGGAGCGAACAAATGCAACTACTTACTTGCTGGGTTCGGCGACCGAGATCAGTGCATTCTTGTCTCCGCACTTAAGGTTGACCTGAGGTGGAATTCGAACAAACAATGAGCACGATAAACACACAAAACCAAAACACGCTCTCACTTCAAGCCGCATCGACATTTACAGTTGCGGATCGGTTAGGGCCATTCCAGCACTTTTCACCATTCTCGAATTTCATCTGAGAATACTTGTTACCAGATCCTGACCATCCAGTCCAGGAGCTAGGGCCAGCCAAGGTGAGTTTTCAAACAAGGCTTTGATCGAATCGGTTCAATAGTGACAAAATGACTTACCCCAGACTGGTCGCGCGATCATTCTGCTTTTGCTTTGCGGAAACGAATGGACATACCTCGTATTGGTATCTGCACCAAGACAGAGGAAACTAAGTCTCAGCGGAATTTCATCCGGGAACCAATGGCGGCTTGTATTCTTACTCGTTCGTCTTGAAAGAAAAGCATTCGTCTTGAAGCACAAAGAACTCTTGCTCGGGACCAAGGTCCGTGTTAAGCTTGGCATCCAATGCACTGAGGGGGGAAGCGGGTGAAAGTGAGAAACCACACCATCTTGACAAGCAGCCGTCAACTTCGACCATAACTTACTTGACCTCGCGCTCGGTGGCGGTGGCACGATCATGAAGAGCAGCCCATTCAGTTTGAGCGCGGTTGGCAGCTGTGATGGCAATAGAGATATGAGCGCGGAGACAAACAGAACAAACACGAGGCAGCATGTTGGAACACGAAAATTGGAGTGAACAGCGAGGGGAAAGATTCTCTTACCGTCGATCAAAGCCTGGACATCTTCAGGGAATGGCGGCATCGGTTCTAAAAATTCAAACGTAACAAGAGTCAGACGCAAAGCCAGCGCATCATCAAAATTTTGGGAACAGAGGGGGCGCATACCTTCGGGTTCCGCCTTCACTTCGGGCTTCTCATCGACTGCAGGCTCAGTTGCGGTGGGTTCTCCACTGGCGGCTTCAGGGGCAGCAGCAGCAGCGGCGGCGGCATCTTCCTCAGCCTTCTTGGCTTCACGCTCCAGACGGCGAGCTTCCTTGACCGCGTTCCAAGCGTTGATGTGTGCTTCCTTTGCGGGCTTTTCGAGAGCATCGGCCTCATCCTTGATTGCCTTCAGGCGTTCATCCTCAGCCTTCTCGGTGGCCAGGGTTGCCTTCAGTTCGCGCAACTTTGCGGTGCGCTCCTTGCGAGCGGTCAATCCTCGCTTGATGTGCTCAAAGCGGACGCGCATACCCTGCTGATGTGAGAGCAACTGTATAGATATGTGTGCCAAAACGCAGCAGTGGTTGAGTTTGACAGGCGTCTTTGGAACAGGCCTCAGGTCTCAAGGTGCCGTACCTTCTGCTCATTCTCCAGGCGCAGACTTTCGCCCGCTTCCTCGCAAGTGTTGTCACAGTCCGACTCTTTGCGGCCGAGCTCGTCGGTACCATCGCAGCAATCGCAAACGCCTGTGTCAGTAAGGCGACAGAATGAATGCTGAGACAAAAAAACCAAAAACAAACCAAAACCAAGAAATCAAACGAGGATGCATCAAGTGCCGTCCAGAACTGACCATCGTTGACTCGAGAGGACGGCAAAACGGTGGGCACAAAGCGCTTGTTTGGGCAGTAGAACGATCCTCGCGGGCAAGCGGATGTTCCTGCCACCCCCAATTCAATTGTCAAAATCAAAGTTAGAACAAAAAGTAGAGATGAACTCGTCTTGCGATGAAACGACTGTGAAGGAGTGACTCGTTCGCTTTCATTTACCTGGCTCGTCACTGCCATCTGGGCAATCGCAATAGTCGTCGTTGATGGCAGCGAACGGGATGGTCTTTGAGCCATCGACGCAAGTGAATGATCCGGACTTGGCTGCCGCGCGGTACAGCGGCCGACCTGTCAAACCATTGTCAGAAAATGAACAAAAAAACCCCCAATTGAGTTGTTATCATTGTCAAAACGCGAGTCAGATAGGGGTTGAGGAGGGGTTGAGGGGGGATGCTTTGAGTTTGGCTGGAAGTGCATTAGAAGTGGACCCGCTTTGTCGCCTCAGCGCTTTTGCACAGCAGCAGCAGGCGATGCAAGCCAGTTTGTTGGTGTTGCCGTGTTTCCTCGCCATTCTTCAATGTTGAGGATTGGTCTGAGTGCGTGGTGATCAGTGTGGGTGAAGGAAGAGAGAGAGAGCGAGGACGAGATCTCGCATTGCACTCGCATCCTCCACTTCTTCAACTTGCTCCACTCCACAGTGATGATTGACTGGTGACATGACCGAGTGATGATTGACTTGTAGCTCAGAGTTGGAGTTGGGGGGGGGGAACGTCTTACTCGCAGGAGCAGCGCCGCGGATGACTTTGGCTTGCGTTGAAGCAGCATCAGCACAGAGAACGATCATCATCACTGCGAGCATCATCACTGCTGCAGCGAGCGACAGTGTCACTGCGGATGATGACGATGAGCGACGATGCATCAGACAAGAAGAATAATGAAGAATAATGAAGAATGAAATGGGACTGAAGTAATAGACAAATTGTACATCAGGACTCAGATTTGACAGGTTTGTTCCCTGATCCAATCGCTCAGACAATAAGAAAACAAAAGCAACGAAGCAAAGTCGAAGCAATCTAGCAAGCGAGCAGGGAGCACAGGGAGGAGAGAGAGAGAGAGAGGGAAAGAGGGAAGAAAAAGGGAAACCAGTCAAATTTTCACACGTGAGCTGTCAATCTGAGACAATCCGACTGAAACCAGTCTTTTTGTTTTTTCCTTTTCCCGCGTTTGACAGTTGCGATCATGAGTCGGCTGCTTGCGCGCGCACTCAACCGCCCTGGCTCTGGCGCTGGCTCTGGCTCGGATGGCTCGTCGGAAGGCTCAGGCGGTGGTGAGGACAACGAGATGAGCAGCCAGACGCTCCTCACACGCCGACAGCAGCTGCAATCCCAGCAGTCCCAGCAGTCCCAGCACTCTCATCAATCCTACCAACTGGCTCAGGCACAGTCGCAGTCGCAGTCGCAGGCACAGTCGCCGTCGCAGTCGGGCAACCACGCGCACCTCCGCCAGATTCACCCGCAGGCAGCGACGTCCGCACTGACTGTGCCGTCGTCATCGACGCTGCAGAGTGGCCGCTGGAGTGGTGGCTCGGGCTCGTCCCATTCCGCGTCGCACCGAGGCGGCAGCAGCGGCGGCGGCGGCGGCTTCAGCATGACTTCGAGCGGGAACTCGTTCTCAATGTCGAGCCGCCGCGCTGCCGACAACGATCCCGTCGGACTCGTCTTTGCACCTGCTGGCGTCGCTGAATGGGAATGGGCAGGCAAGGGCATTGTCGAGATCGTCCACACGGATCGCTGCCCAAGCCTCAATTTCGCCCTGCCGGCAACAGGCAACGCGCCGGGTGCAGCTCTTCCAGGTACCACGACGACTACTACTACTACTACTACTACTGCTGCTGCTGCTGCTGCAAGGTCAGGCCAGTCGGAAGGAGTTATCGCAGACGGAGCTCGACAGGAACCTCCCGTGCTGCAAGAGCAGCAGAGCATCAACGTCAATCTCTTGCGTGGCGTCGAGCGACTTGGCTGGAAGATCAAGTACCCACCCGTGTACTCTGGTGGTATCGAGTCGACCAAGCACTACTTTGCCGACGGCGGCGACGACGACGACGAGATTGACCTCGACGGCGACGACGACACCACGGCGGCCGAGCGAGGGATGCAGCCACAGCAGCCCTCCATCAAGCGTTCTGGACACGCTCATGGTGGGAAGGAGTCGCTCCTCGGCCAGTTTATGGCCACGGCCATCTGCGCCAATGACATTACCTCGTCCGTCTTGTACACGGCGGGTGTTGTCGCCTCGTACGCGGGCTATCTGGCGCCTATCTGTCTGCTGCTTGTCGTGCTGCTGCTCCACCTCTTCCGTCGCGTCTATGTTGAAGTCGTCACCGCCCTTCCCCTGAACGGCGGCACGTACACGGCCATTCTCAACACGGGCCCCAAATCCGCGGCCGTCTTTGCTGGCTGCCTGTCCTTTTTGTCGTACGTCGCCACGGCAGTCGTCAGTGGCACCAACGCGATTCAGTACCTGCAAGTTTTATGGACGGATTTGGATGGGCACATTGCCACCATCCTGCTGTTTGTCCTGTTCGCCGCGCTCATGCTGTTTGGCGTGACGGAAAGTGCCAAGGTTGCCTTTGCCATTTGCTCCGTGCACATGCTCACGTTGGCGACCTTGTGCATGTGCGCCCTCGTCTCGGCGTTCCGCTCCAACTGGTCGGTTTTGGCCGACAACTTTGAGCGCGCCCCTCCGTCAAACATTCCACTGGCCCTGTTCTACGGCTTCAGCTCGGCCATGCTCGGTATCAGTGGATTTGAATCGTCCTCGAACTTTGTCGAGCAGCAAAAGCCGGGCGTGTTTGCCAAGACGCTCCGCAACATGTGGCTCATGGTCGCCATCATCAACCCTGTTGTTTCCCTGCTGTCGTTTTCTGTCTTGCCCCCGAGCGTGCTCTATCCCAACAACGGCACCGTCTACAACGAGGCCGCTGCCAAAGCACTGCTCGCAACCATGGCCGACCAGATGGAGGACGAGCTGAACGGCGCCTGGCTCAAGCGCATGATTGTTGTGGACGCGGTTTTGGTGCTTTCGGGCGCCGTCCTTACCTCCTTTGTTGGCGTCATTGGTCTCTTTTTGCGCATGTCCGCCGATCGTTGCTTACCCGGCGTTTTCCTCAAGCGGCTTCCGTACACACAAGCCAACTATGTCATCATCCTGTTTTTCTTGTTGGTGTGCTCTTCCCTGTTCCTAATTGCCAATGGCGAGCTTCAGGCGATCGGCGGCGTCTATACGGTCGCGTTCTTGTCCGTTATGGCCCTGTTCGGGTGCAGCAATCTTGCTCTGAAAAACACCCGAAGCACCCTCAAATCCGAGGCGCACGCGCCGCTCGTGGGTGTCATCACGGCCATTGTCGGCGTCATCGTTGCGTGGATTGGCAACGTCGTTCTGGACTCGCAAATTCTCCTGTACTTTTTCATGTACTTTGTGGGATTTTTGGCCATCGCTCTTTCCATGTTCTTCCGGTCTGCAGCGATTCGCACCTTGCTCCACGCGATCAAGGATCGAACGAATGCCAGCGCGCGTGTGGCCCGCTTTCAAAAGTGGCTCGTGCAGCTGCTCCACGACATTGAGCGTGAGCCCGTCATTTTCTTCTCCAAGCACGGCGATCTCGTTTCTCTCAACCGCGCGATTCAGTACGTCGAAGACAACGAGCAGACCCGCATCGTCAAGGTTGTCCACTTCTTTGAGTCGCCCCGAGACATTCCAGAGGAGCTGTTTGAGAATATTGCCATGCTCGATCGGTGCTACCCGGCGATTCGGATTGATGCCATGCTTGTGACGGGTCCCTTCCGGCCCGAGATGATTGCTTTTGTCGCCGACCGTACGCAAATCCCGCCAAATCGCTGCTTTATTGGCTGCCCATCACCCAGGATGACGTACAACATTCGAGAGCTGGGTGGCCTTCGCATCATTGTTCCCCACCTCGATCGCACGTACGCTCGGCTTGTTCGTCTGTGGCGCGAGCACCTCCAGCTTCCCGCCCCCGATGAGCAGCGTGCGCTACCCGCCGGCAATGTCGGTCTTGGACCGTCTGGTCCCGCCCGCAAGCAGCAGGACACCCCGGCTGCTGCTGCTGCCGCTGTTGCGAAGGTGTCCGCACCAGAGACCGACGGACCTCTGTTACTTGGTCTGGGCGCTGACGCGCGATCGGATCTTTCGTCCCAACCGCATCAAGGGCGAGACGCGCAATTCCAGCAGCAACAGCAGCAACAGCAGCCGCCACAACAACAACAGCAGCAGATGGGCGCCAGTTTCCAGGAGCAAATCCATGGCTTCGCACCAGTCGCACCAACTGCACTGTTCTCACTTGCGCACCAGACTCCCCAGTCACTGTCCGCTCCTCCTCAGCCGACATCGTCCCACCCCATCGCCGACTTTGGTGCCTCGTTCGCTGTGCCACCCAACCAGCACCATCAGGCCATGGCAAAGCCCGGCGCCGAGCAGCAAGCGATCGCCCAGCCCGTTTACAGCCAAGGACCGCAGCTCGCACGAGAGGATGATCATCACAATTATCACTATCAGCAACCGCGGCACCAGCCAGCCAGTATTTTCGAAGTCTTTGGAGTTCGCTCCTTGCCTCATTCCGGCGTTTCGTTGACCTTTTCGAGCCCAGCAAAGGCAGCCGCACCTGTGACCCCGTCAGTGCCAGCCCCAGTCGTCGCGTCAGAACCAACTTCTGCAGCTCGCTCGCCGCCAGCAGCCCCGACGGCTTCGGCAACCCGCTCTGCTTCTGCTTCCGACGACTCCCCGCCCAAGGCATCCTTGTCTCGAAACCAGAGCAGGCACGTCTTTTCTGTTCAAGCCGTCGATACGATGGACGATGATTCTGCTGCTCCCTTGGTGGACTTGAGTGTCGCAGCTCCTTCCCGAGAGGCAGAAGAGCAAGGAGGGAAAGCTGGTGCGACAACGCGCCGTTTTGAGGTTGCGGCGGCCACGGAAACGGTGGCACCGACGACTGTCTCGGCATCTGACGAAACTTCCAAGCGCTCTCAGGTGGTTGAAGCCAGGACTGAGCCTGCTTCCACCACGGAGCCATTGCGTGAGCAGAGCGCCGATGCTGGACCCGTCGGCGATGCATCCGCCGCTCCGCACAGCCTGGCTGTCTCTGGCGTTGTTGAAAACGAGGAAGTCTTGTAATTGTTTGATGGTGGTTTTTTGTTTTCCTGTGATGGATGTCACGTCGTCCTTTGATGTTCAAGTCATTTTTATTGTACAACATTTGCATGCTCATTGAAAGAACGAGGGGAAATGCTGAAAAACGGTGTTGTGCTGATGCTTGCTGGCTGAGCAGACAAAATCCAACAAAGGCTCGCACTCACTGTGTTGGTTTGTACTTGTTGTTGGCTCGTAGTTTGTCAACTGCATTAGCATCAGGATGAACCAAATGCGAACCTGAAAGGCTCACTCTTTTGTGTTGGTTTGTATTGTGTTTCTCGTTTTGTTTGTCCCACACACACAGCTGTTTGTCCCTCAGCGACCATCGCATGAAAACGCGACATGAAGTGGATGATGACTCTCAGAGTGTGACTCTTCTATGTTTGAAGTGTGAAGTGTGTGTGTGTGGAAGGCACTCGTGGCTGGCGACTGTGGTGTGGACGTAGCATTGGTCCTTTTTTTTTTTTTTTTTTTTTTTTTTGTGGCTCACGGAGCAAAATCACGCCCCCCGCTCTCTCCGTCCTTGCTTTGTGAGGTTGATGTGGTTGATGGGGGTTGATGGGGGTTGATGTGGTTGATGGTGGTATTGGATGGTGGGGGAGGGGACCAAAGGCGAAGACTCATATTGGCGCGGCTGTGCTGTGGCCCTTCGGCCTTGTCACGATCTTCAGTCAGTCTCGGCCTCACTCTCTCTCTCTCAGTCACTCGTCCTCTGCTTTTCTGCGTTGCTCCTGTTGCTTGAAGTGCTCTACTCATCCATCAGCTCTCTCTGTCTCTCTCTGTCTCGCTCTCTGCTCTCTCTGTCAATCCATGTGCCGTTCTCGCGCTTCTCCCCTCGTGCCTTTCCCCTCTTCTGATCTCGGCCTTCTCTCTTCTCTGCTCTCTCTCTCTTCGCTCTCTGTGTGTGTGTGCTCTGATCTCACATTGCACGCACCTGTTTGTCGCTTTCGACCTCTCCATCTGGGCATCGCGTCATGTTGGACAAAAGAAAAAGAAAAAAAGAAAAAAAGAAAAAAAAAGCAGAAAAATCGTGCCGTTCCATTGTTAGCGCCACGAACAACGAACGCGACGTTGATGTTGCAGAGAACAGCGACAGTCAGAGCGCGTTTTCCTATAAAGATCAACGAGAACATGTTCCAATTCAGTCATGTTTTGAATCTGGAAAAACAAAAGAAAAAAGCTGAAAATTCAAAAAAAAAGAAGAAAAAGAAATAATAATAATAATAAATAAAAACCTGGTTTTTGTTGTTTGTCTAACTTGATGAAAAATAACCGCGTTGTGACTTGTTCAACCGTCAATGATTGAATGATGATTATCGTTGTTATGATCAATCAATCAATCATGCATCATGATCAGTCATTGGTGAGATTGAGTGATTGAGTGATTCAGTGAGTGAGTGATGGAGTGATGGAGTGAGTGAGAGTGAGGCGTTGGCATGACTTACGTCGCTCCTTACTTTGTCTCACTTTGACCCCCCACCTCGTGTTGTGTCGATCTTCACTCATCACTCAAGATACTGCTGTGATCAAACTCATTCTGCTTCTTGCTTACTTGTTTAAACCCACTTCAACTATTTTTTTTTTTTTGCCTTTGACTTGCAGAATTCCCCGTCGTTTTCACTCCCAAATTTGAACACAAGATGCTGAGCTGCCGCATTGCCGCTTCTGCCGCGCGCAACGTCGCTGCTGCCTCTGCGCTCACGAGTGCTCAGCGTGTGGCATCGCGCTCATCAGTGACTGCAGTCGCCGCAGTCTGCTCTGCTGCTGCTCCTCGTGCCGCTGTCGCTGCTCCCCGTGCTGCTGCTACGCGATCCTTTGCCACCATCGCTCGCCCAGTGGCTGCCTCGGCCTCGGCCTCGACCCCGGCATCGCTCGAGCCCCTGGACTCGTTCGAGCGCCGCCACATTGGTGTCACCACCGAATCGGACGTCAAGACCATGCTCGACGCCTGCAAGGTGGACTCGCTCGAACAGCTCATCGACAAGACCATCCCGGCTGGCATTCGCCTCCACCGCGAGTTGGCCATTGGCGCGGCCCAGTCAGAGTCAACGCTCCACAAGACCCTCAAGTCGATCGCCTCCGAGAACAAAATCTTCCGCTCGTACATTGGCATGGGCTACTACAACACGCTCACACCCCCCGTCATCCAGCGCAACGTGATTGAAAACCCCGGCTGGTACACCCAGTACACCCCTTACCAGCCAGAGGTCTCGCAGGGCCGCCTCGAGTCGCTCCTCAACTACCAGACCCTCGTTGCAGACCTGACCAAGCTGCCCTTCCCCAACGCCTCGCTCCTCGACGAGGCCACTGCCGCCGGCGAAGCCATCACCATGGCCTTTGTCAACTCTGGCAGCAAGAAGCCCCGCTTTGTCGCCGATGCCGCCATCAACCCCCAGACGCTCGCCCTCTTGCGCACCCGCGCCGAGCCGCACAAGATTGAGGTCGTCACTGCCGACGTCCTCAAGTTTGACTTTTCTGCCAACGACGTCTGCGGCGTCCTCGTCCAGTACCCCACCCTGTCTGGCGACGTGCACGACTACTCGGCCCTTGCCGAGCGTGCCCACAAGGCTGGCGCGCTTGTCGTTGCCGCAACCGACCTCCTCGCTCTCACCGTCATCAAGGCTCCCGGCGAATGGGGCGCGGACATTGCCCTCGGCAACGCCCAGCGCTTTGGCGTCCCGCTCGGCTACGGTGGCCCCCACGCCGCCTTCTTTGCCGTCTCGGAGAAGCTCGTTCGCAAGATGCCCGGCCGCATCGTCGGTGTCTCGCGCGACGCGTCCGGCAACGGCGCCTACCGCCTCGCCCTCCAGACCCGCGAGCAGCACATTCGCCGCGAGAAGGCCTCGTCCAACATTTGCACGGCGCAAGCTCTGCTGGCCAACATGTCGGCCATGTACGCCGTCTACCACGGCCCCGCCGGTCTCCGCAAGATTGCCGAGCGCGTCCACCGCCTGACTGGCATCTTTGCCGAGGCTGTCGCCCACCACGGCCACACGGTCGTCAACAAGACCTTCTTTGACACGCTGCTCATCAAGACCTCCGTGCCTGCCGCTCAAATCATCAGCCGCGCCGTCGAGCACGGCATCAACCTCCGCACGGTCGACGCTGCCCACGTCGGCGTCTCCCTTGACGAGACTGTCACCCGCGACGACCTTGTCCACCTGCTGAGCGTCTTTGCCCTCCAAGGTGGCGAGCCCGCCCCGATTGCCGCCATCGACGCCGCCGTCGCCCAACGCGGCCCCGCTTACAGCGCCGTCGCTCGCACCAGCGCCTACCTCACCCACCCCATTTTCAACTCGCACCACTCTGAGACCATGATGCTGCGCTACATCAAGTCCCTCGAGAACAAGGACATTTCCCTCGCTCACTCGATGATCCCGCTCGGCTCGTGCACCATGAAGCTGAACGCCACCTCGGAAATGTACCCCGTCACCTGGCCCGAGTTCAACTCGCTCCATCCGTTCGCCCCCGTCGCACAGGCGCAAGGCTACGCTCGCATGTTTGAGCAGCTCGAGCGCGACCTCGTCGAGATTACCGGCTACGACGCCGTCTCTCTGCAGCCCAACTCTGGCGCCCAAGGCGAGTACGCCGGCCTCCGCGCCATCATGGCCTACCTCAAGGACATTGGCCAGGGCCACCGCCACGTCTGCCTCATCCCCGTGTCGGCCCACGGCACCAACCCTGCCACCGCTCAGATGGTCGGCATGACGATCGAGACCGTCGCCACCGACGCCAACGGCAACGTCGACATTGCCGATCTCCGCGCCAAGGCTGAGCAGTTCAAGGACCACCTTGCCGCCATCATGATCACCTACCCCTCGACGTTCGGCGTGTTTGAGGAGGGCATTCGCGAAGTTTGCGACATTATTCACAAGAACGGCGGCCAGGTCTACCTCGACGGTGCCAACATGAACGCCCAGGTCGGTCTCTGCCGCCCTGGCGATTATGGCGCTGACGTGTCCCACCTGAACTTGCACAAGACCTTCTGCATTCCCCACGGCGGCGGTGGTCCCGGCATGGGCCCCATTGGTGTCAAGAAGCACCTCGCTCCCTTCCTGCCCAACCACCCCGTCGTCAGCGTCGGCGGCAAAAAGTCGTTCGGTGCCGTCTCGGCGGCTCCCTGGGGCTCGTCCTCGATTCTGCCCATTTCCTGGTCGTACATTCGCATGATGGGCGGCTCGGGTCTTGCCCAGGCCACCCGCATTGCCATTCTTAACGCCAACTACCTCCAGGCGCGCCTCAAGTCGCACTACAAGATTCTCTACACCAACAAGAACGGCTTCTGCGCCCACGAGTTCATCCTCGACACGCGCCCATTCGCCAAGTCGGCTGGCATTGAGGCCATCGACATTGCCAAGCGTCTGCAGGACTATGGCTTCCACGCCCCGACCATGTCCTTCCCTGTGGCTGGCACGCTTATGATTGAGCCCACCGAGAGCGAGTCCAAGGTCGAGCTCGACCGCTTTGTCGATGCTTTGATTAGCATCCGACAGGAAATTGCCGACGTCGAGTCTGGCAAGGCCGATCGCGAGAACAACGTCCTCAAGAACTCGCCTCACTCCCTCCGCCACGTTACTGCTTCCGAGTGGAACCACCCTTACACTCGCGACCAAGCCGCGCACCCGCTTCCCTACCTGCGCAAGAACAAGTTCTGGCCGTCTGTCTCGCGTATTGATGATGTCTTTGGCGACCGTCGTCTGCAAGTGACTCGCGCTGCCAATGACATTTAAGCAGTTGTTTTTTTGGGAGCTGTCGGTTTTTTTTTTCCGTTGTTTGTTACAAAATACAAGGCTTTGTGTGTTAATTCACCTTTCTGTTTTCATAGTTCAAGTTTCTTCTTGTTACTGCCATGTTTTGGTTTCGAATTGAGCTGTCAGCAACGATCTATCATCAAAACACGGGAGCCAGCACGGCGCTTTTGTTGCAATCCAAAAGTGTTTTCATTTGTTTTTGGTTACAACTGAAACCAAGAAGACGAGACGACCCACAGACCAACAACTTAACAAATGCGACAGTGCCAAAAACCAAAGCAACCCTATTGGTTTTGGTAGTTTGAATACCCTCCCTAGATGAGCAAGCAACGATAGAACAGCAGAGTGAGCATCGAATGACCTGCAAAAGCGGAAAAACAGAACAGAAAAGAAAAAAAAACCCTCGTGCAAAAAAACACCAAGAAGACTCAAAGAGAAACATACTGGATAGCCGTGAGCTTGAGGATGCGGTGGCGGTATTGGTGGTTGGTACGCATTGGTGGCGCCACCGCGGAGGTTGGCCAAGGCAGCGCGGAATGCAGCTGCCGTGACGGATTGAGAGTCTACTGCAGCAGCGTTAGGGTTGGAGTTGCTGGCTGCAGCAGCAGCAGCAGCAGCAGCCGCCGCCGCAGCCGCCGCCGCTGCCGCCGCATTCGGATCGCCGCCATCGGCAACCTGGGTGGCTTGGCTGGCAAGCATCTGCAATTGCTGAAAGTAGGCGGAGGAGTAGTTTCCATTCGCTGCGGCCGCCTGCACAGCCATGAGCATTTGCATGTGTGCGGGGTCTGTTGGATCGACGGCAGTCGTTGGATTTGCCACAGCCGCGGGACCAGGCGTTGGGGCAAAGAGGCCAGCAGCGGCGTCTCCAACCGACGGTCGTTTCGCGGACTTGATTTCTTCGCGCGGCACAATGTCAATCAAAAAGTCGTACGTGTCGCACTTGGAGATGGCGAGCGCAACGTCGCTCCTCTGCACAGGACGCAGTAGGATTGTCAGTCAGAAGGAATTCGAAACTCGACCAAGCCAAAACACAACACACACACACACAGAGCACAACCAAAGTACCTGAAGCGTTCGGCGTTTGGCATCCTCCGTATGCAACCAAGCACGCGTCGACAGCTCGAGGATGAAGAGCTCGCAGGCCTTGGCGAACAGCATCGGCGCCTCCGAGCTAATCATCTTGACTTCCTCGTCTGTTTTCATAATTTTCTTGATGCGAGCGAGCGGCAACTCTTGCGTTTTGAACGATTCGACGGTCTGTGCATTGAAGAACGAGCGGACAAGGGTGAAAGAAACGGAAATCAGAAAAGGTGAGAAATTCTGAGATTTTGAAGCCCTTTTTGATGTGTTCAATAGCGGAGTTTCAATCAAAGTCTCCGAAATAATCACATATCCCAAATCTGAGAAAAAATCTGAGAAATCTGAGAAAATCTGAGAAACCTCGCCTTACCAATGCATCGACAGCGGCTGCTTGTTCGCGCCAGAACGAGGCTGTTTCGTGCTCGAGCCGCCGCGCAAACTCCTGCGACAGGGCCTTGGCCTGCTCGATTTGCTGCACGGACGCCGTGGACTCGCGACTCGCGGCAGCGGCAGCAGCGGCGGCGGCAGCAGCAGCAGCAGCGGCAGCCGCAGCATTGGAAGCAAAGTTGGAGCTCGCCTGCATTGCCTGCTGGAGCGCAGCCGCCTGGGCCTGGGCTTGCTGATGCTGCTGCTGCTGCTGCTGTTGTTGTTGCTGCTGTTGTTGCTGGTGCGGCGGTGGCTGCGACTGCTGCTGGGGTTGCGCTGCGTACGCGAAGGTTGGCGGGTAGAACGATCCTGGCGTCCCCTGCTGCGGCTGCTGCTGCTGCTGCTGCTGCTGCTGCTGCTGCTGCTGTTGCTGCTGGCGTTGGGGTGGTTGAGGCGGCTGCTGCTGGGATGCGGCTGCGGGGTGGTAGTACTGGGCATACGCATGCATTGGCTGCTGCTGCTGCTGCTGGTGCATTTGAGCCTCTTGCTGCTGCTGCTGCTGCTGCTGCTGCTGCTGCTGCTGCTGCTGCAGTTGGTGAGCGGCCATCATTGCTGCAAAGGCCGCTGGATCAGACATTTAAATAATCTGAGAAATATCGAAAAAAAACAATGAATGAAAGAAACAAAAAGAAAATAGAAACGGACGAAAACGAGTAAAAAATGCACACAAGACGAGGAACAGTTTGATACAATCGAGCAACACACAGAACAACGAAGAAGAAGAAGAAGAAGAAGAAGAAGAAGAAGCAGAAGGGCGGTGCAAAAAAGATCACTTGGATCTCACCAATCCAACAAAACGAAGAAGGAAGAAGGAAGAAGGAAGAAAAGCAGAGCACAGAGCACAAAACACACTTCAACACAAACCAACAACACAAGAGGCTACAAGTTGACGCCAAAGTCCCAGATTTTAATCACGCCGTCTTCCGCTCCAGTGACAATCTTGCTGTCATTGAACTGCAAAAAGTTGACGGGCGCGAGATGGCTATTGAGTGTGTACATGAGAGTGCCCGATTCCAAGTCCCAAATCTTGACAGAGTGGTCGTGGCTGGCCGTCACAATTCGCAAGTTGTCAAACTGCAAGCACCAAACGCCTGCACAAGAACGAAAGAGGGAACGGGAGGAAAAGTTTGTCCAACAAAAAACAAGCAAACAAGCAAGCAAGCAAAATCGGCCGAACGAAAACAGTGAGAATCACAGTGGACAAAAACCCAAAACGAAACAAAAATCTCGAACGTACCAGCAGTGTGCCCGAATAGGGTCTGCGTGCATTGCCCCGTCTCAAGATTCCAGACACGAACAGTGTTGTCGAGGCTCCCGCTGACCACGGTGCCGTGGGACATTTGCAAACATTGGACCTCGGCAAGATGGCCCTCCATGCTTTTGACGCACTCGGGCTTTTGAATGTCCCAAACACGGATGGTGCCGTCATCCGAGCCAGACAGAATCTGGTTGTGGTGGATTCGCACGCAGTTCACCCAATCGGAATGCCCATGCAGCACGCGACATTGGCCATCTGCAAACGACCAAACGCGGATCGTGGAATCGGCCGAGCCCGTAACGAGCTTGGTATCGTCAAACTGGAGCGACAGCACGCCGCCAGTGTGGCCCTCGAGCGTGCGGACGCAGTCGCCGGATTCAATATTCCAAATCTTGACTGTGCCGTCCATCGAGCCCGAAATGATCTTGACGCGGTCAAACTGGAGACACCGCACTGCGCGCGTGTGTCCTTCAAGCACGCTCTTGCAGTCTCCCGTTCGCGTGTCCCAGATGCGGATGGTGCCGTCGTACCCGCCAGAGACAATCTTCTTGTCGTCAAACTGCAGGCAGTAGACGCCGTCCGGGTGCAGCAGCTTGCGCACCGTGTAGACGCCTTTTCTCCACTAAAAAAAAGACCAAACGACCAGAGACCACAAGCAAACAAAAGCAAGCACCATAAGCATCCTATGTGAGTGAAGACAAGTTGCGAATTCGGGGAGTTGCCTTTAGGCTGTGGCAGAGTGCAACAGCCTAATAGCCTGTTTGCCAAATGCAGCGTATTTCTCGTTTTCTCTCTGTCTCTGTCTCTCTGTCTCACTCTCGCTCGTCAAATGCTTACGTTTCGCTCAATGCAGAGACGCTCGACGTAAATGTCCTTCCAGCGGCGGCGCGGACGCTTGGTGCGCGGGTTGGACGGCTGGATTTCCGAGCCTGAGGCAGCGGCGGTGGCGGCAGCATGAGCGACGGCCGCGTCGTCCGGCATGTCCATGATGAGCGGGAGGCCCCATCCGCACTTGTGGCACTTGCGGTTGATGTGCTGCGCGCACATGCGGTGCCAGAGCGAGTCGTCGTTGGCTACGTCCCTCCATGTGCGCGAGACCTGCGCGGCGGTGGCGAGGCGCGTTGCGTCGCAGAACGACAGGATGTGCTTGGCCAGGTGCTCTGGCAGATGTGAGATAAAGTCGATGCGCAAGCGCGGCTCGACGAGGCGGTAGACGTGCGAGAGCGTTGCCGGGTCGATTGGGACTGGCGGGAGTGCATCAGCAGGATCAGCAGCAGCAGCAGCAGTAGTAGAATCAGCAGCCTGTTCTGATGATGATGATGATGATGATGATGAGCGTGATGGTGGTTGTGGTGATGACGGGTGGCCGAGGATGGCAGCGAGGAGCTCACGCAGCTGGGGTTGGGACAGCTGGCGGACGCGGTCGAGGGTCGGCAGCAGCCAGTCACGGAACTGCTGCTGCTGCGAGGGGTCATCCTGCTGCTGCTGCTGCTGATGATGATGATGATGGTGGTGGTTGAGCTGGTGGTGGTGGTAGTGGGGATGCAGCGCGAGTGATTGCTGCTGTTGTTGAGCATAGCCGTCGACGAACGCCGAGGCCGGCAGCGAGAGGCCCAGCGCAGGCACCACAGGCGCAGCATCACTGGCAGTATCAGCATGAGTAGCAGACGTCGATGCCGATGCCGACGGGGTGGAGGTCGCCGGGGTCACCGCCATGGATGCAGTTGGCAATCGACGCTGTGCTCCATTGGCCGACAATGACGAGGCCGCGTCCACTGCTACGTCCATTCAGCTACACAGTCAAAAAGGGTCAAAGTCGACAAAGAAGATGCTTGTGAGAAAAAAATGAGAGAAGAATAATATTAATAACAAAAAGGGGGTCGCGTTTGTGGTGCTGTGAGAGAAGGGAAGGGAAAGGAAAGGAAAGGAAAGGAAAGCTAAGAAAAGGAGAAAAAAAAAAAAGAAAAAAAAAAAGACTGAGAAAAGATGAAAAACTCAGACAAAAAGTAAGAAATAAAACACCAACAGAAGCAGCTTTAAAAGAAAGAAAATCAACCACAGAGACTGAGAAAGAAAGAAAGAGTGAACGACAAAAGAGAGAAAGAGAGAGAGAGAGAGAGAGAGAGAGAGAGAGAGAGAGAGAGAGAGAGAGAGAGAGAGAGAGAGAGAGAGAGAGAGAGAGAGAGAGAGAGAGAGAGAGAGAGAGAGAGAGAGAGAGAGAGAGAGAGAGAGAGAGAAACAGAGCTCCATACAAAACAGTCACATCGCTAAAGCCCTGTGACGCGTCGCTACATATAAGCATGTTCCATCTTACAATTTGACAATCATTGACGTTTCTCAGACACTTCGTCCACTTCTCAGACTGACTCTCTCAGTCCTTCTTTCTTCTTTTCCGTTTCTGCTTCCATTACTACATCCAATCTCTCAAACCACCACCAACCACTCGCTCCTCACACAGCAGCAACATGCCGTCATCTGGAACGCCCAAGAAGCGCAGCCTGGCAGACGAGTTGGCGCGCCTCACCGATCCGACGCCCGTCCACGAGGACCCCGAAGCAATGGACGGAGGAGCAGCAGCAGCCGACCACGACCAGGACGGCGAGTTTGACTATGGCGACGCGTCGGCGGCACATTCAGGTAGTAGGTTTCACCAATGGAGGGCGGAGCATTGAGGATCCAGGGATGGAGGAGCGGTTCGTAATGGAGAGAGCGCAGTGAAGGGGAAGCCACATGGAAACACATGGAGAGGATCAACACAAACCAACAGTCAACGCAAGCGACAGATGAATCAATGGAGTGACGCAAACTCACAGCATGCACCGACAAACTACTGCAGGTGGCGTCGGAAGCGCAATGCTGCGCGGACTGGATGCAGCGAGCGATCCAAAGTACGCGGGAAAGCCAGTCTCACGGCGAAGCCTCATGTCCGACGACGATGATCAAGATGAAGATGATCAAGATGAAGATGATCAAGATGATGATCAAGATGATGAAGACGAGTTCGAGGACGAGGACGAGGACGAGGTCGAAGACGAGGATGCTGACGAGGGTGCGTTCAGCGCTGCTCTGAAGCGATTCAGCAAGGCTTCAGCACCATCCTCACGACGTGCTCAGGCTCGTGCTCAAGATGATGAGGACGAAGACGACGACGACGACGATGAGGACGACGAGGACGAGGACGAGGACGACGATGATGGCCTGCCGCACTTTGGCGGTCCCAGCAACTCGCTCAGCTCGGAACTCATGCAGATGGAAAAGCAGATGGCAGACGAAATCCGCGCCATGGAAAACGAGGAGGCGCAGTCCATGCAGGCGCTCTCATCCACCGTCCAGTCCGACATTGTCAAGGGCCAGCACGCTCGCACACAAACCAAGCTGTTTGACAGCTTTTTGGAAACACGCATTCGTCTCCAAAGCGTCGTGACGGTGGCCAACCGCATGCCGCATCCCGATAAACTCCCAGCCTTCGCCCGGGAAGGCGGCGACCAGACTCAGCAAGCACTCAGCAGTGTTCAAACCGAAGTGGCTGATTTGCTTGACAAGATGCTTGATTTGCAACAGGTAATGGTTGGCTCGCCGGAGCTTGATATGAAGGGGAAACAGTCAGGGGCAAGAACGACAATTTCCCAATCACTGACTGGGTTTTTTTTCGAGCAGAGTCTTTTCCAACAAAACCCCGAGGTTGCGTCCGTGGCAGTCCCCCGATCAAAGCGACGACAATCCACCGAGGAGTATTGGCAATCCATGAGCGGAACTCACAAGCGGTACGACGAAAATAACATCATCTTCATTTCGACTTTTAGTATTGCAATCTGCGCACGCTCACATGCTTCGCCTGGCTTGCTTCTCAGATTCAAGCCATTCTTTGAAAACACGATCGAAAAATGGAATTCCAAGATCCAATTGGCCGCAGGCGGCGCAGGAGCCAAAAAGTTCAAGGCACTCAACCAGAGCGTGCTGGGCCAAATTTCACAAGTCATGACGGGCAAAGATCGCCTCATCCGTCGGTCTCAATTGAAACGCGGCAGCTACCGTGTTTTGGGCGAGGTAAGACATTGTCGTGCATTGCCTCGGCGTGCTTTGCTTGATTCAAGGCACAAACCCTTCGTTTACTTCTCAGGACGAGCACGATACGGACAAGGGCGACGAGTACGACGAAGAAATCTTTGATGACCAGGATCTTTACCAACAGCTGTTGCGTGAACTCATCGAGCGTCGCACATCCGGCATGGATACTGGTGCGTTTTGGAGAAGTGTACTTTTGCCACTTCGCATTGTTTCTGACACGTCTAACAAACACCATTCCATCTGCAGATGACACAAGTGCAATGGGCAAGCAGTGGGTCGAAATCCAAAAGCTTCGTGCCAAGAACAAGCGAAAAGTCGACACTAAAGCCAGCAAAGGCCGCAAGCTTCGGTACTGCATGCTTTGTTTTGTTGATTTGGGTCGCGCGTGTATTACCCCCTCCCTTGGCAAGACGTCTCTCACTCTGTCTCTTGTTGTGTGTCCTTGTCCAACTCAGTTTCCAACCACACGAAAAGCTTGTCAACTTTATGGCGCCAGTTGATCGAACGACATGGACGGAGCAAGCCCGCACCGATCTGTTTACATCGTTGTTTGGCAAGACTGCAGCGGCCACTGCACACTGAGTCACATGATTTGGAGGCGACTGCTTGGGTTTTAATGAACAATAGAACAACCAGCTGTTTTTTTTAACTGTTATCACACGCTGTTTACTTGCTACTTGGCGTCTGTTGCTCTTGCTGCTTTCGCCGTTCAATCCGCTCGCACTTCGGGCAATGATCGGGGTTGTAACATGCACGGTGCATGACTGTGAAGCACCGGGGACAGGCGGCAGTGTCCTGCTGGAACGGATACAGAACGGTCGAGTCTTCGCAGCTTTCGCAGATGAAGCCCTTGGCCTGGCAAAGCTGGGACGAACCAAAAAAAAAAAAAAAAAAAAATAGTACATGGATTGAGTGGGGTGACTTGATCGCATTCGAAGCCAGAAACAAACTAAACACTTTCAAAAGCTGCGCACATACCTCACAAACCGACGTGATGTGTTTAAAGAAGGTCGCCCGGAACTTTTCCAATCGTGGCAGCAGCGTGCCCGCATTCAAGTCAAGCAAGTCTTGCAAACTATAAAGCGTAGAGGACTCGATCAAGTGCATCCGGCCTGTCAACTGCACGAGCGGATTGGTTGGTTGGCAACAGAAGTTGATAATACGCAATCGATAATCTCCAACTTACCGATTTCTTCGAAATCAATTTGGTAGCATTCCGGCAAGTGACAATGAAGCCGCGCATGCTGCAAAGTTGCTCGCGCAATTTCTACAAGCACGGAACAAACATTGCAATGAGTTTCACAGCGAACAAAGCGACAACAGAGCTGCGCGAAAACCGACAAACCTTGGCATCCCGAAGCTCTTCGACGTAGTTGAACAATTTCGGATTGACGCGCTCGACAAGAAGAATGGGTTTGCGCTCAAGAAGAGTGAGCAATTGCTTGGAGGTTTTGCTGACCTTGTACTGCTTAAAGTCCCAGTTGTGGATGACACGAGCGGGGATCACTTGCATCCCATTCCAATGACACTCGTCGCAATAGTACTTGCCGCTGTAGTCGCAGGTGCGAACTTCCGCAAACAGGCCTTCTAAAAAACAAAAAACAAAAACAAAAACACCGCAAACAAACGAACAAAACAAAAGTCACAAACGCATCGTCACCTGTCACAATCTGTTCAAAACTCAATCTCATACTAAAGCCAATGGGACGGTGGCATTCAAAGCACTTGTAATCTTGCTGATCCAGTCCGTTTTCCGGGCAAATGGACAGTTGGTACGACGCATGCTCAGCTTCCAGGCTGGGACATTCGGAGGCGATGGCTCCCATGCACTTTTTGTGGACATTCAAGCCGCATTCTTTCCACAAGCATTATAGGAAGAAAGGTGGCGAAAAAAAAAAGGAGGACAGCAGTCAGTCGCGCATTCGCACGCATCATCGAAAAGCTCACAGCACCAAATGCACAACAACAAACCTTGACAACGGTACCCTTGACGATACACGCCCCAGATGAAGCTCGAGCATTGATCGCAGAAGGTCGGCACGGAATAATTCGCAACCTTGAAATGGTGGCCCTGGTTTTGCATTTCTTCTTCAGCAAGCGCAGCGGACGCGGCTGCTTCGCTATCCCGCAGCTCCCAATCACGAAGACGCAGCTGCACCAGCTTTTCCACCAAATGCTTCTTTTCGTCTGCGGGCAGGGAGGGAGAGTTGAGGTTGGCACGCAACCGTGCTTCGAGCTGGGAGACTTCCGTTGAGATTGCATTTAGCTCGAGTTGGCGACCGCTCACATCTGAGGCGCTCGAGTCGTTGGTGCTCGAAGCGGCAGCCAACATGCCCGATGAGTTGTTTGGGCTGTGGCCGAGTCGCTGCTGCACAAAGTTATGGAAGGGGAAATCGTCGTCCAGAGCTTCCAGGAGTGCAGAGTCGTCAATGTTCGAGGACGACGGCGCGTGCATCACAATAGGAGCGCCGCGCATTGCTGGCGGTGGCGCATTTGGCTTGGCGGAGGGCGAGGCGGTAGTGCGGGTGGAGGTTGAGGACTGTGAGTGATTGTAAGTCGGAGGCGCCCCTTTCGAGGATGTTGTTGGGGCCTGAACTTTGACAGGGACCTGTTGCACCGGAAGCGGCGCCGAGGTGGTCACTGGAAAGGTCGAAAATGGGACGGAGGAGACGGTGGACTGCGCTTCGTTCCCCTTGCTGATGAGCTTTTGAAGAATGCCTCCGTATTCAGCCTCCTTCAAAACAGAGATTGTCAACGAGTGCTCTCGCCGTGTTTCAACGGGAGAGAGCAGGTCGGATGATTGAGCCGACGTTGAATCCGTCGATGTGGCGCTGCCCGCACCTGCACTTTCGCTGGACGAGGATTGAACAGCCTGCTCGTTTTCAGCGTCACGCGTAATCTCGTCGATTAGTGCCTCAAACATTGTCTGGTTGGCCACAACGGGTCCCGAACGGAACTGGTTGCTTGGCACCTTGGCAGGTTCGCTGGCCAAATTGCGAGGAGGTTTGAGGGCTTTCTCTTCTGCTTGCTGCTGGGCTTGGAAGGAGCTGGAACGACTGGTGTCGCGAGAGCTGGGAGCAGACTCTTCCGTCCCAGCAGAGTGATAGCTGTCGATGGAGGTGCCCGACTCGGTGCGGGTTGTGCGAGCATCGTCTGCGCCAGCGCGAAGAACTGCTTTTGCATGGGACCCGCTCGCACCAGACTTTGATGTCTTGCGGGTTAGCGTTGCCTGGGATCCAGTAGAGGAGGAGTCGACCGGGGCAGCCGAGCTCGATGACAAGGCGGACAGGGATTGCGACAAAACACCGCCGACTCTTCCCGCCGGTTGGCTGCGAGCGAGCGGCGAGGCCGGGGGTGTATTTCGCGTTTGATTGCAAGCCTCGCACACAATCCTTCCACCGACGTGATTGTGGGCGTGGACTAGAGAGCGCGAGGGCAAGGCAGGGCAAGAAGTGAGCATCACCAGCACCAAAAGTTCGCAATGGTCTCGGAAAAAAACAAAAAAACAGCACATACCAGACTCGTCGTCAGCATAGCACGGCATAACCAGAGCTCGCATTTTATTATCCTCCAGTGGCTCTTGAGCAGATGGAAAGACCTCCTGGTCCAGACTCAGATCGTCGACATTGACTGAGAACGACACGGACGAAAGGCCTGCGGCCAACGTGATTAGGATGCCCAAGTCTTCGTCACTACGCATTACTGCATAGGAATCGTAGTACTCTCTGCGGTGAGTGCGATCGCGATCAGAGAATCAGTGAAAGAGCTCTCACGTGGGAAAACAAACCAAGCCACAGCTGCTCAACACAACAACAGAAAACCAGAGAGCATCCAAACCCAATCTCACCGGACGAGCTTTTGGTCGCGCAGCAGGACGGTGAGGTAACTCTCCAGGGTAGATTCATTCAGAGCCAAGCGCATCCAGCCACGACACTTGCCCATCGTCGTGTGCACATTGTAGAGCTTGCTGAGTCGCTCAATGGCGTGCTTGCTTGAGATGTGCTGGAGTAAATCCCACCACGCATTTGCCTGTGCGACGCGTTTTGCGTCAAACAGCCCTTGTTCCTTGATGCCATGCAGAAACACACGTTCGAGCTGTGTGCAGAATTGAATCAGATGCTTGTCTCCCGTTGCGATGCGCGACTGCTCGACTGCGAATGTCAATTGGAGCTGTTGAAGGACGTACAATTGTGAGTAATGTTGCAGATCGGATGAAACAATGTTTTTTGGAGTGTTTCTGAGCTGTTTTTTTTTTTTTGTTTTTTTTTTTTTTTGTTTTCGGTTCTCTGCTGCAATTCCGATTTTCGCTGCAACTTGCAATCCAATGCCAATACATGCAACTGCTCGAATAATGACTTGATGAACTTTGCTCGGTGCGATGCATTGGAGGTCGAGTGTGGATGTGGAAGAGGTCTCGCTTACCAGACGCATGACCTTGGCGAGCGACTGGACGAGCTCACTGCGCTCTGCCGTGCCGTCGTGCTCGTCATCAGCGCCCCCTGCGAGCTCTGAGAGAAGCAAGTCAAACAACAAGCAGTGAGAGTCTGAGAGTCGGACGAACGCGAGTCCCAAGTTGCCGGTCCCCCGTCTCTCTCTCTTCCCATACAAGCACTCAAAGCACTCAATCTCTCACTCACTCGCTCCATGTCAAGCAATACAAAAAAAAAAAGCAACAAACAAACGAGGTCTAACTTGCTGTTCAAGTGGATCAAAGTTTGACGTACGTTTAAACCAGCGCGACATGTTGAAGCACAGAACCAGAAAAAAAAACTGAGAAAAACAAAACAAAACAAAAACAAAGACTGAGAACTGAGCAAAACAAGACGTGAGCAGAATAAGAATACGAATGGTGTGCGTTGGCTTGTTGATCATTTTCATTTCTCATTGCGTCTCAGCAAATCTGAGCTCTGAGCTCAGTCAGTCAGTCTGTATTTTTGTTTTTGTTTGGAAAATGGACGTGCCAATCCCTTCCTCAGCGGGCACGAGCACTGCACCTTCTACTGGCACTAATATCAACCCATCATCAAGTAGTAGTAGCAGTAGCAGTAGTGGCAGTACTGGTGATGGTCCATACGGCTCCAGCTCGAGCTACAGCGTCGAGTTGCCGGTCGACGTGCTCTGCGCCGTCTTTGTGCACTTGGACGAGCCGCGCGACCTGCTCAGCTGCGAACGCGTCTGCAAGCAGTGGATGATTGCATCGCGCATCTGCCTCAACCTGCACTGGCGGCTGCTCTTCCAGCGCACGTTCGGTCGCTGCCGCATTGGCGGGTCGCTCGTCGAGGCGCAGCTCCCAACAACGCTGCCAATCCACCACCCGACCAGTCCCTATAGTCATAATAATACTCACGCGGATGCAAGTAATGCTGCTGCTGCTGCTGCTACACAGGCACAGGCACAGACACAGGCGGTGGTCGGGGAGCAGGACGACCAGCGGTGGAACAGAGCCGCGCGCGCTGTCGAGATGAGCACTGCTGCAGCCAGGCGAGCGTTGCGCCAAGCATCCACCCAACAAGCTGCTGCTGCTGCTGCTGCTGCTGCTGCTGCTGCTGCTGCTGCGTCTGCTTCTGAAATCAGAGCCGAGGCTGGGATGGCGAGTGCCGGCGAGGGAGCAAAGGCGTCTCCAAATCATCTCAGAACGCCGCTGCCAAATCAAGACTTGACAGGTCGTCGCTCAGTGTCTCCGAGACCAATTTCACCCGATCCACATCTCCGCATCAGTAGCGCTAGTGCTGCTCAAGCGTTAGAAACCTCGCCAACCCAGGCGGCTGCCATCGACCCGCGAGTGAGCTGGCGCGCGCTCGACGACCTCACCCGCTGGTGGCTACTCACACCGCTCGACCGCGTTCGCTTCCCGCTGTCCTGTGGATTACCAGACACCGATTTGATGGAGAGCGGCCATCCGGAGAGCCAGCCTGGTGGTAGTAGTTTGTCCACCCGTTCGACAACCAGACCCACGTCGAGTGTACTCGGTCGGGGTTTGCATCTCATGCTGCCACGCATTCGGCTGACGACAGAGACAGCCAGTGTGCGCGGTGCATCCATGCCGTTATGGAGCGAGCTGGTCGTCCGTGAAATGGCCGCCTTTTGCTCGGAGCTTGCTCCCGTTTACCACGTCTTGTTTGACTTTTTGTCTCAAGAGCAACAGCAACAACAGCAGCAACAGCAGCAACAGCAGCAACAGCAGCAACAGCAACAACAGCAGCAGTCTACTCTTTCGGCATCGACGGTACCGCCTTCCCCAGCCTGGTCGCACCATCAGCCAGCATCCAACTCTAGCCGAATGCCCTGGCGATTGTGCCTGCTTGGCAAGCCTGCCACAGCCCAAGAAAGCGCCCTGCGTAGCAGCTTTCGGCTTGAGCGCACTCGCGTGCGTGCTCTGAGCGCTCAGCAGTGCGGTCTGCTCCGAGAGCACTGGGCCGTCCCCATGCACGACCTGCCGTTGCATGGAAGTGAAGAATACCTTGACGACTGGGACGGCACGGAAGGCAGTTTCCGAAGCGCCCACAGCGAGGATTCTATCGACTCTATCAACAGCGCTTCGTCCGAATCTTCATCGTTCCATCCACCAAAACCAGTCGTGCAGCCTCTGTCCCATAACGATCTCTCGTCGCTCACTGAGCCGTTTGGTGCCTCTTCCCCAGCAAGCCCAGCAAGCCGTGGTGACAACCAGGGGCACCCTCACCCGCATCGATCGGGAAACTACCTCGGACAAATGCGCAGCCTCTCATCGTCCCAGGCGAGCCTCTTGGCCAGCCAGGACGTTGCTGTTGCGTCCAAAACGCACGGACGTGTGCCATGGCGCAGCCTCTTTGAAGACCGCTGGATTGCCGATCAGTGGGCTGACGCGATCGACTTTGATGTGCGGAAGCTCGGCGAGTCTGGTTGGTGCGGTCCTCCCGACGAAAGCGAGCTCCCTCTGCACACGTTGATTGTTTCTGCTGCGTTCGGAACGCGCACTCCCAGTGCCGAAGAAGTGAAACGTCTATTCGAGTCCGTTCTCAGCCCGCTGCCTGAAGAAGCGGCGGATTTGGTCAGTGTTGAAGTACTGCCCGACTGGCGACCGCGCACCCTGCTCTCCGAAGTTGTTCGCCTCTGGCAGAGCGCATGCACTGAAGCTGGCCTGAGCAATCCAATGGTTGCCGGCGCGCACGAGGACGCCATCGCTGCGGCGGAAGGGGATTCGCATCACCATCCGTCCAACACTCCTCACTTCCATCATCACAGCAGCCACAACCAAGAATCGCTCGACATGCTGAGCAAGGTCGCATCCTCCCCGGCATTGCTGAGCCTGAGCGCGGCCGATGCGTCGACTGATCCAGCAGCACCTTCAGCCGCGCATCCGACCTCCATCTCGTCCAGCAGTAGTCGGCGAGCCAGCAAAGGCAAGGATTCTGCAAAGCACATTCTAGCAGCACTTCAGGACGAGCGGGAAGCTGCGCTGTTTGCTGCCAAACAACAAGACGCACGAAAACTGGACTTGCTCGAAACTTTACTCGCATCATCATCAACGACCGCCTCTATTGCTACTGGTTCGTCCGGCAATCACAGCGGTACCTCGACTCCGGTCAGTTCCAGAGGCGCAACCAACCGCAAGAGCATCACCGCAGTTCGGCAGTGGATTCAACAGGAGCTGCAGGCTGTGGCAGCGGGTCTCGAGAGCGCACGCCCCCACCTTTCTCAATTGTACAACGTGTGCATTCGAGCACGCTCGTGCGTGCACTTTGACGCTCGCGAGCATTGCCGGATTCGGTCGGAGCCGTCCAAGCCAAAGCCCGTGATTCCAGTGCTGCCTGCCTTTGACGTGCCGCAAGTCAAGGTGTCCTGCTGCCTCAGCTTTTTCTGCTCTGTCACGCGTCACCGCACGCTTGTTGGCTTTGGCTTTTTGAATGTGGCCCGGCTGACCGAGCGACCGACCGTTCCACTGTACCGATGATATCTAAGAATGTGTTTTCCGCCATTAAATTCAGAATCCATCCAATATAGTCTCTCTCACTTTCATACACACTGTTTTTTTCCCCCCAGTCGTCTTTCCCTTTGCTTATGCCCTTTCTTGTCGGACGCATCTTCCATTCAGCAGCCTCACGTCTCGCAGCATCGTCGTCATCAATCCCTGTTCGCCGCCTCGTTTCCTGCTCTGCGCCTCACTGCCACCACGCGCCGTCGCCACATCCAGCCATGAGCAACACTCCTCCGCCACTGAACCACCAGACAAGCACCTTTGAGCCTGCCACGGTCTCCGACAACGCTCCTGCTGCCGTCAAGAAGCGCCAAGGTGAACAAACGAGTGCTGCCATTCCCGCCAAAAATTCTCCCGCCAGATTTTGATGTCGTTCGTCTCACTCTGCTGTTCCCCTCTGCTCTGATCTGGGCCTTGTCCTGCTTTTCCAATGCAGATTACTTGCCGTGGGCAGACTATTTTATGGCCGTCGCGTTCCTGTCCGCCCAGCGCTCAAAGGACCCCTCGTCCCAAGGTTTGTGACCATTCATTCAATTGTGACTCTGTGACCCTCCTTCCTTCGAGTCTTGCCAATGCCTATTTTGCTCAATGACGATCGTCTGTTTGATACTCTATATTGATGCATGTTTTCGGGCACAGTCGGAGCGTGCATCGTCAACCAAGAGAACAAGATTGTCGGCATTGGCTACAACGGGATGCCGAATGGCTGCAACGACGACCTGCTCCCATGGGCACGCACGGCAGAGAGCCCGCTGGACACCAAATACATGTACGTGTGCCACGCAGAGCTCAACGCCGTGCTGAACAAGAATGCGAGCGACGTCAAGGGCTGCACGATTTACGTGGCGCTCTTCCCGTGCAACGAGTGCGCCAAGATTATCATCCAGTCGGGCATCAAGGAGGTCATCTACAAGTCAGACAAGTACCACGATCGCCCCGAATTTGTGGTGTCCCGGCGCTTGTTCGACATGGCAGGAATCAAGTACAGGTGAGAAAAATACTCCTGCACTGCGTATTTGGGGAACAGTTTGAGACGCTGCAACAGCTTGTTCCCGTTCTGACATTCTTCTGGAAATGCTTGGAACACAGACAACACATCCCCAAGATGAAACAAATCACCATTGATTTCGGCTCTATTGAATGAGGTTTTTGATGGGGAAAAATGGCGTTGGCAAAAAACGACAATGGATGTAATATGGTACAAAGATTCCCAAGACAAAACAAGCACATGGCTGAAACAAAACCCAAAAAGCACAATGACAAACAAAACACAAAAGAACGACAGCAAAAAAACAAAACAAACAAAACACAAACAAACAATCAAAATGGACAACGATTAACTAGCCTCAATCTCTTCTTCGTCAGTCTCACCGCCGGAACTGTCTTCCTGCGCAGGAGACATTGCACCGGACGGCTGAGGAGTGACAGTGGAAGGGGAAGTGGCGGTAGTCGCAGGAAGGTAAGGCACGGTCGGCGGAGGCGGGCGCGCATTGTATGCCTGAGTTGTCCGATTGATGAGCGCGGCGGGGTTGACGGCTTGCGCCGATGAGCCAGCCGAGCCGGAGGTCGACAGTGTCCGCGCGTGACGGGGCGGGCCGTTGCTGCTGCCATTGTTTGACGCAGCGAGCGCAGCGGCAGGGGAGGCATTGGGCGCCTTGCGTGACGCACCCGCATCTGCTTGCACGCTCGGGTGGAGGAATGTGTACAGCAAGTCGGAATGGGCCACCTCTTCGCGCATGTTCAACAAGCCAGCCAGGAAATCATCGAGCTCCTTCATGCGCTTGAGGGAGACACTGCGCACCTGGGATCGGCCAACCACCAGCTTGGCTGGGAAGAACGGCATGCGCGAAACGTCCATCGGGAAGGTGGCGGTGAGCTTTTGGTAAAACTCGTCAAACTGGTGGAACCGGCGCGTCAGAGTGTACTCGTTGCCGTTCATGAGCGACACCTTCATCACATAGACGTAGTACTTGTCTGGGTTCCAGACCTTCTCGACGGAAGCCACCTTGACGCTAAACACGCGCGGTTCGGTGGCGGCAGAGTACTTGTTGGGCATGAACGACAGAGTGTCCAAGCTGACAGCTTTGCCCGGTGACGAGCCAGTGAACTTGACCTGGGCGACGTTGTGAATGAAAAAGTTGATTTGGGTGAATTTGGACGACAGGGATTCGTCAATGAGCTTGCGGAATTGCTCGTCCGCCTCCTTTTCCGATGCCGACAGGAAGAGGGCATCCACAACATAGGCCAAATCCTTCTCTTCACGCAGCTCAGGGATGCCGGACGACATCATCTGTATGAATGCGAGCGAAAGAACGAATGACAAAAACAAAACAACATAAAAGTGAGCCAAAAACCAACTCTGGAACAACCCTCATCCCCTCTGTAGTTTTGCGCCCTGCACACTTGTTGCGCTTACCATGCCGAGAAGATTCACAAACAGCGAGGCGTGACGACGAAGAACATTGTAGGCAGTGCAGCACAACGCCTCAAAGTCTTTGAAACGCTGGTTGAACTTTTCGCCGCCGTTGATGACGTACGCAAAGCCAGGCGTCAGGATGAACGGAGCGCGGTCGCGCTTGAAGCTGCCAAACCGTTGCGCGTTGCCGAGGAACTTGCCAAAGTCAATGTGGAAGAGATGACCCGATTTCGTCACCATAATGTTGTCGTTGTGACGATCGCAAATGCCGAGCACGTAGGTGGCAACGCAGTAGCCTGCGCACGAGGCAGTAAAGTTGCTCACCGCCTTGTCGTAGGCCTCGTCTGACTGGTTGTGCTTTCGCAGCCAGTCGGCGAGCGGGCGATCCTTGAACGAGCCGGCGAGGCCGACTTCCTCCGTTTCAATCCGGCGCAACGTGTCCGAGTTCATGACCATCTCGACCATGCCCGAGTCACTGCCAGTGGCCAGGCAACGGTAGGTAATCATCTTCAGGTCGAGGCCTTCGCGCAGCCACAGCTTGTCCATGATGCGAATCATTTGCAGCGTGATCATGTCTTGGCGCAAATCATCACCGACCTTGTAAATGACATTGATGGGGCTGCCAAGCGGGTCGGCATTCCGGAAGACGACACGCAGCGGAAGCGTCTTGGAATTAAAGTACGAACACTGCTCGACGTTGATGCCCGCCACTTCCTGGCTCGGATTGAGCGGCAGACGAACCGACGCGGAAGATGCAGCGGCGGAGGCAACGCTCACTTCGCCAGAGGCTCCAGCAGCGCCGTTCAATGCTCCAGTAGACGCTTCAATCCACGTCATGTCCGCCGCTGTGCGATGCATCTCTTCTTGCAGGACTTGCGGTCGCTGTGCGTCTTTGGCCTCGCGAACTGACACTGCCGAGCGAGACAGCAAAGCACAGAGCTGCAGCTGACGCGCCAGTTCGCTGCGCATGGCCGAGCCACACGCGGCAAGCAGGGCTTCGAGCACCAGTTCGCACCGGCGAGCGAATTGCGGATTAATGTTCATGTCAGCCTTCAGGCACCAGAACAGCTGCAGTCCGATGCGACAGCTGCCAAGAGCACGGTGAATGAGGAAGCGGAGCAGGGCCGAGTCGTGGAAGGTTTCGTACTTGAGTCCTTGAACGAGCTGCGGGAGACAATCGCACAAGTCGTCGTCGCTCAACGCCGACATCCATTCAATGGCCGTTTCTCGGACACGCGTGTCGGGGTACTTGGCGTGAAGCAGCTCCAGAGCAGCGACCGGTGACAGGGGTGTCCACTCCTGAAGCAGTCGATGCACGTCAGTCACGCTCAGCGGGTCTAGCGCTCGGAAGGAGAGCAAAACACGAGGCAGCGCCTGCGGATGGCTGATGAGTTCGTTGCGCTCAGCCCAAAACCGCTTCTTGTCCGCGTCGTCGAGCGGCACAAACTGGTTTCGCTGCGATGTGGACTCTGGGGAAGGCCGCGCTGCGCCAGCGCCAGTTGGACGGGACCTGTTGCTTGCAGCAGCAGAGCGCTGCACGGGGCCAGAGGTCGAGCTGGATTGCTGTTGCCGGAATCGGTGGCGACCTTTGATGATGGTGAGGGCGCTCGGGTGCAACACGGGCACTGGGTGGGTGTCGAGATCCACCTGCAGCAGCGCACACTCGTCGTGGGCGCTGTTGGCTTGCGTGGTGCCGATGGGATCGGCAGGACCATCCGGCCACATTCCAAGCAAGTACCGGCCTGTCGAGAGCAGGAAGCGAAAGTTGAACATTGGCAAGCTCACCCACCCCAAAGGGACGCCGGCGATCGAGAGAGACGCCGTCTGCGCGCTGTTATTATCCTTGCTGTCGATCTTCAACCCGAAAACGGTAAAGCAAAGCCGCGCTTCCATCGGCAAGGCTCGCATGGGGAAATTGTACTGGAGCCAACCGTCCCAGGTGCAGCGATCAAACATGCCCTTCTCCAGCAAGGTGGGCTTGGTTCGAATGGAAGGGGCGAGCAGATTGCCGCCATAGTATAGTCCAGCGTCCACGTAAAACAGATCAAACCGCATCCACGCCGCAGGAACGTGGTGAAGTGACTGGACGCAGACACGGAACTGGGTCGTCGGAATGTCACTCATCCAGGTAAACGAAGAGCCATTGTTCAGGCCGGCTGGAGCCGACGCGGCCGCAAGGGCCTGGAGCGCCGCATCGATCGTGTCGGCGTCAATCCACGAGCCCAGTTTGATGGCGTGATCCTGGTCGGCTTCCGAGGCAATCTCACCGTCCATGGACAGAGCGTACATGGCAATGACAGCAAGCAGTTGCCGGTACAGCTCGTTCATCTGCTGCCGCATCATGCCAGCCAGCATTTCGTCTGTCAACTCGCCATTCTTGGACCAAAGCATCTTTTTGCGCTGCAGAATCTCGGCTGCGCATTGCTGAATGTCGATCGTCTCGGTGGTGCCGAGCAGGGCGCACGTTGCCTTTGCCATCTGAATGAGCTGGGTTGTCTCGCGCGTGATGGCGCTCAGCTGCGATTGCTCCGAGGCGCACAGGGCCTCGATTTTGGCTTGCGTTTCCCGATAGCGGCTCAGCGTGATGGCTGCGTCCTGGAACACGGGCGAGGACGCCCACCGAGTGGTAAACTCGGCCAAGGCGTCCAGCCCTTCAGTGTCGGAGCTTTTTTGATCGCCATCCGCCATGTTGGAAAGCAGGGCGCCGTTGCTATTCCGCTGACCGGGCTGACCAGAGAGCCGCTTTTCGGCATGGGACTCGATCAAGTCATCGGGCTCAATCCGCATCAGGCTGCGATCGACATCGGGCCCGTCCACCAGAACGAGGCTGATTTCACGGTTGAACTTGCGGCAAATGTGGACGTACTCGTGCTCGGCGACAAACACGGGAAAGGCGCGTCGAGCTCCGGTGCGCTCGTGCTGTTCTGTTTCGAGGTACTCGCTCAAGCCGATGACTTTGAGTCTTGGAGACGTTAGAGCAACGCCGAGCATGCGGCAGGCGGTTTGAATCAAGTCAGCAGTGGATGTCTCAACACTGCAGGCCACATGCACGGTAGCACCTGACGGGCCTGTAATGTTCACGTCAAAGACGTCGTGAATAAATGTTTGACGTCCTCCAGCTTCGAGTTCCATGATTGGGCTGCAAATAAACCCCTTGTTCGTGTTGAATGCCGTGTGAGGGAATTCAGATCGCAGCCTACCAAGAGTGGAGAGTTTTAGATATCAAATACAAACGAGAAAAACGAAAAACGAAAAAAACGAAAAAAAAAAACGAAAAAAAAATCGCAGCATCGAGATCTTGTGTGGATTGAAAACTTACGTGCACACCATTTTGCGGAAGGCCTCCACTTCAAAGTTTTGGTTGGACGCTTTGATGGGCCGTTCTTGCAACAGGCTCACCTCCAATCGCCATCGGTTGAGGAAGAGGGACGAATTTGCTGGCAGCGTACTAGCAAGCGCAACCATCGAGGATCGACTCTCTTTCAACGCCGAAAACTTGTCTACCGATGATGCAGCGGTACCACCAGCAGCGGCAGCGGCAGCTGCAGCTGCAGCCGTGGTTGTGCGGGGCATTGTCGTGTGAGAAGGACTGCCTGATGGCTCTGGGCTGGCTACAGTGACGCTCGGTGGTGGGGCATTGTGCGGCCCGGCTGCGATATACCGTTGCTTGGACGCTTCGAGAGGAACTGGGCCTGTGTGCTTGATTAACGAAGGGGCTGAGATTGAGATGCGAGAGCCTGCAGCTCCGACAGGGCTGCGTGCTGCCGAAGGACCAGTGCTTGGTTTGATGGCCGCATATTCAACGCTGGCATTGTTCGAGGTCTGAGCAGCCATTGCAGCGGCGGGCGAGACCCGAGCAGCAGGGACGACGGTTGCATAAATCGGTTGTTGTTGGACACTCTTTGTTGGCTGTTCGACATTGAAGCTCTTTGAAGGCGTTCCCGTTTCGGCAGCACTCGTTGCCTTGAGCGCGGCCTTTGCGGCATTGGTGGATTGCAGCGACGGCGACGAGGATGACTGGATGAGGGTTGCGGGACGGGTGGGCGCGGGCGGCCTTTCAGGAGCACCCTAGTTGTTTTCAAAAGGGGAGCACAAGAGCACAAAAACAAGAACAAGCAGCGCCAACCGACACCCGTGAGACAACAGGCCGGGTTTTTCAACAACATCATACAGAAAATAGAAAAGAAAAAAAAGCGGAAAACTTACTCCGGCAGGTCGCGGAGAGCGCTGCTTGAGTTCTTCTGCGAGGGAGGTCGCGGGCGACAAAGGGGTGGCTGTTGGCGAAGCAACATCGACCGGCACAGCAGAAGCAGTGACTTGTGGTGACTTTGCCTGAGAAGCCCTCGTTTTGATTTCGTCGACAAACGAGGCGCTGGCCTGAACTGGCGACTTTGACTGCGGCGAAACGCCCGCCGACTGCTTTCCTGATGCGAGCCCGGGACTTGCCGTTGTGGGATCGAGCGAACCAGAACCAGAAGAGCCGGTGAGAGCTGCGTTCGTGCGCGCCGAGGCGGATTGCGGGGTTGGGGCAGCGACGGGAGACTTGGCCGCGGTCGTTGTCGACAGAGTTGCCGCTGCAGTCTCTGTTTGCGCTGATCGCATGGACGCAGCAGCAGTCACTGCAGCAGCAGCAATAGCACTACTGGTCGCACTCGGCGCAATCGGAGCAGAGTTGGAATTGGACGGGATGGGCGATTTGCTCAGTCCTGCGCTTCCTGCAGCAGTCTGTGGTGCCAGCAATGGTGCTTGAGCTTGAGCTTGGGCTTGAGCTTGACTCTGTGGCTGCGGCTTGAGGGCACCCGCGAGCGACGATGATGACGACGACCCGCTCACACTACTCGCAGCAGGGTGACTCGTTGCGGCTGCCTTCTGAGCAGGCTGGAGTGGTGATGCATGCAATGCTCCTCCTGCTGCTCCGACTCCGAGTGACGCGGCTGCCTGCACTTTGGGCTGGAGCGCAGTGCTCAAGCGAGCGATTGCGGCAGCTTTGGATTGAGCCTGCGCCTGCGAGGACGCTTGAGGCAGTCCAGCAGCACCAGCAGCAGCACCACCAGCAGCAGATGATGAAGATGATGATGACATGGGTCCAGTGGCGGCGTCTGAGGCGGAGGACTGCTGCTGCTGCTGCTGCTGTTGGAGCAGTGCGTGAACGGACGGCGAGCGAGTCCGACTGGGTCCAGCGACTGAGGTGGAAGCAGCAGCAGCAGCAGCAGCAGCAGGGGGAGCATTAGGAGCAGCATTAGTGGTGAGCAGTGATGCTGACGAGGATGCCTGCAGCGGGCGAGTGGAGGTCGACGGCCCGTTCTGCTGGTGCTGCTGGGCTGAGGGAGGAGGAGGTCCCCCCGGCCGTCCGCCAGAGATGAGCGGCATTCGATAGAAGGACTAGATTTTGTATTGGAAGTGAGATTTGGATGAAAGTGTTTGTGGAGTGTGAGGTAGGGACAGGGGAAAGGGAAAAGAGTAGTGGAGAGGAACTGAGAATTGACTGAGAATTGAGAGTAAAGAACGATGAGTGACTGAGTGACTGAGTGAGTGGGATTAGAAACAGAACAAACAATGAAAGAGTGAGGTTGATATTGATCAATGCGGTGGGATGGAAATAGTCAAAGCAGAGGAGACTGGATGCGCAAAAAGTCAAGGAGGCGAAGGGAAGAGAGATTGAGGAATAATCTCAAGTTACCAAGTTGAATGCATGGTGGAAAGGAGATGCCGGGGCCTATGAGTAGTAGCATGAACAACACCACGTTAACATTACGCATCGGTCTGTGTGGGAAGTGGAGATCGCTCACTCTTGCTTAAACAATCTCTGAGCAATCTTCTCGCCATTCAATTCAATTCGCTGCGTTCGTTCACTCGCTTCATTCGTTTGGTTGACTCGAGTCAGTCAGCCTCTAAGTGTACCATAAAGTGAATCACTGATGTTCGTCCATTCAAACACTGCGCAGATTTTGATCACCAAATTCAGATCACTCTTCATTTTTTTGGATTCTGAGCATTTTCCCAACTCAACCCTCGTTCGTTCATTCGTTCATTCAATCGTTCATTCATCATGCCGGACGACACGCCAATTGACAACGATCGCCAGCACATGCGCGATGCCTCAGCTGCCCCGCCTCAGGCTGCGTCGCTCCACGGGATGAGCCCACTGTACGTCTCTCAGCAGCACAATCGGATCTCTCGTGCCACAAATCTGGGTCTGCGGGACGAGTGCGAACTACAATGAAATACACTAATCAGCATCCTCCTTTCAAAATTAAACCCCCCCCCCAACCAAACGAGCCATCTCTCAGAAGCTTTGGCTCTGAGAGTTGCCGGTTGTCTTTCCCTCCATAATCGCACCTGCGCTGCCGCTTTCCTCACAGTCTTTGCATCTCCACCTTGACTGACCTCGCTTTTGGATGACTCTTGGTGATGGCTTGTGGGGTTGGATGTGCCGCGGGGGGGGGAATGACGTGGGTCAGGTACGCGAATTTCTCAAAGGCACAACTTGAGGTCATTCTGAATCTCATTCCGCTGGTGCAATGGGCGCTGCGTCGCTCCACCACTGCCGAAGCGACGACAACGACGACAACAACGACGATGACGACGACGTCTGCTGCAGCACCATCCGAGACGCCTGGCTCACTGGGAACGAGGGCGACGCGCGACCCGCTCGAAGCGAGATTTCCCGACGAGCCCATCCGAATTGCCGACTACGGCTCTGCAACCGGGTCGAACAGCGCCCCCGTGCTGCTGGAAATCCTCAAGACGCTGCAGACTGTGAGTGCCGCACAGCGTGGCATTGATGTGGACGCGACTGCAGCCCAAGCACCAGGCGTGACTACTGCGAGTACGACCACGCATACGCAGAGTGCGAGCTCGCGTGCTCTGCGCCAGATTGAGCTGTTTTCGGTCGATCTGCCGCACACCGAGTGGTCGAGCTATTTCGATCTGCACGAGACGCCGCTCAAGCACAGTGGCGACAGCAATAATGCTGGGGTTGCTGCAACAACAGGGGCGGCGGTCGGATCATCGCTGGCATCAATGCCGACATCCCCGCGCTACTTGCTCGGTTGCATGGGTGACTTTTACGAGCACGCGACAGGCAGGTCGTTCTACCTTCAGTGCGCGCCAAACGACTCGGTGTCCTTTGGATTCTCATCGACAGCGTTCCACTGGCTGAGCAAGCTGCCATTCCAGCTGACAACCCATATCGTCTGCTCGCTGGCAAGTCGCGACGAGCTCGAGCGCTGGAAGGAACACAGCGCGAGCGACTGGCGACAAATCCTGGAAATGCGCGCCCTCGAGCTTCGCTTGAACGCAAGCCTTGTCATTGCCGTGCCCGTCGGCCTGGCAAGCAGCGATCCAAGCGACTACCGCGTTACTGGCTCTTACCGCGGCATCTTTGAAAAGCTCAAGCTGGTGGTCGACCAAATGGCGGCAGACGGTCGCATCACTGAGGCTGAGCGCGTGGGCATCACCTTCCCCGCTGCTCAGATGGTGGACATTGACCGCTATTCCGTCTTTTCGCACGGCGACAAGACCGTGCAGGCCACGACGCAAGCCAGCTCCTCTCCCGAGGACTTTGACGAAGGGTTCCGCTCGTGCTTTGTCGGTTCAGTGTTCCACAGTGCACGCTCTAGCCGCCAGCTCCGGTGCGACTACAGTCGCTGCGTGCGAACGCCCGACCCGTACTATGCCCAATTTGCCCGTGGCGAAATCACCCGCGAGGCCTACGCTTTTCAGCTCACACAATCGATCCGGACGTGGTCGTCTGGCACTGTTTGGAAGGCCTTCGACAAGGCGCGCACCCCGGAAAACCGCGAGGCCATTGTCGATGAGCTGTACTCGCGGCTCGAGCGCGTTCTCGTCGAACACGGCAACGAGCGAGATGGCGATTTCCTGACCCTGTATCTCGCGCTGCAGCGTATTGCGTGAGCCTTTGAGTGTTCACGATGTGATCGTAGTATTGTAGAGACAGAATCAATCGCCATAACCACTGGCTCGTCGGATATCTCTGTGAATGTTGAATTGCCAAAATCGATTTCTCAGCCCGTCTGTGTCTCCTCATCCAAATCCAAATCCAAATCCAAATCCAAATCCAAATCCAATTTTTGTCAATTCTACTTTGTCCTTGTTTCTTGTATTTTTCTGAGCCGCCGAGTTTCGAATGCTCGGTCTTTGGCTGCCTCGCCAATGTGGTGTGGTAGCACACTGCCGCGCCATGTCCACCACCACCACCACCACCACCACCACCGCCGCCGCCGCAGTGACTTCTGCCTTGCCATCGTCGTCAGAGCCTCAGCGGGTGGCGCGATTTGCATGGCCGCCTGCGCTCGCGTCCACTCCCGCCGCTCTTGGCGCCGTTGCTCCAGCCGATCCCGAACCAGAGGCCGACTCGGACGCCGCCAAGACCCGCGGGGCACTCAAGATGGCTCGCTTGGTCGAGCTGTGCAAGCGGCGCGGATTCGTCTTCCGGAGCGGGGAGATCTACGGCGGCGGACTGCAGGGCTGCTACGACTATGGCCATGCCGGCGTCGAGCTCAAGAGCAATCTGGCGGGCGAGTGGTGGCGCGCCATTGTGCGCAAAAGCAGAGGCCGCATTGTCGGAATCGACTCGAGCATTATGAGCTCTTACAAGGTCTGGAAGGCGAGCGGGCACGTCGCGCAGTTCAACGATCGCATGGGCATCTGCGCCTTGTCCGGATTGCCGTTTCGTGTGGACAAGGCACCCCCGCTGCGGATAGACACGGTGCGACCACGACAACAAGAGGCAGACCATGCAACTGCCGTGGCCGCTGTTCCACAGCAGCACCGGGTCGTCAAGCTTACCGCTCCAGACGCCCAGCACGCTGCTCGCTGGGCTGCCAAATTGGCGCAGGACGGGTTCACAGGAGTCGTGCAGAGTGGCAAGTCGCTAACGCTGCGTGTGCATAGCGTTGTATTGCCAGCATCTCCCACCAGTGACGCTGCATCAGCTCCTGCCGACAATTCAGCTGGAAGCATCACTTTCGCCAACGCCGACGGCTCCGCTGGCAAATCCATCCCCTACCCTCCTGCGGCGGTGCCAAAGAGCAACTCGCCATTCTTTGAAGAAAAGCTGATGAACGGCATGTTCCCAACGTCCGAATTTGGCACCGACATTCTCAACGAGGCAGCCACTGTCGCCTCCTCATCTATCGCTCAAAAACCCACCCCGACCAACGCTGACCAGGTGCGGCAAGCATTCGCAGCCAGTATCGCCCCGCGTTTGACCTATCTGCGGCCAGAAACAGCTCAGGGCATTTTCATGCAAACCACCAACACGAGCAATGCCAACATCCTGAAACTGCCGTTTGGCATTGCGCAAATTGGAAAGGCCTTCCGGAATGAGATTGACGCGCAGCACTTTATCTTCCGCTCGCGCGAGTTTGAGCAGATGGAGCTCGAGTTTTTCATTCCTCCAGGCGATCACGAACCTTGGCTGCAGTACTGGGTCAACTCGCGCACGCAATGGTGGCGATCCTTGCTGCGCAATCCCGACGATATTGTCCAGTTGCCCATCCCCAAGCGTGATCTTGCGCACTATGCACGAGCGTGCGTGGATTTAGAGTACAACTTCCCGTGGGGTCGAGGTGAGCTCGAGGGAGTCGCAGCGCGCGGTTCCCACGACTTGGATGCGCACGAGGCCGGCTCTGGCGCGAATTTGCGGGTGCCCGGTGCTCAACCGGGCTCTGTGGTCGTGCCACACGTGATTGAGCCTTCTGCTGGCCTGACGCGCGGCGTTCTAGCCGTGCTTTGCGACGCCTTGCACGAGGTTGGTCCTGGAGATCCGCGCTATTCGGACAAGTCCAGCGAGCAGAGGTTGGTGCTCGCTCTGCACCCTCGTCTCGCTCCTTACAAAGCGGCATTGCTGCCGGTTGTTGCCAAGGAGCCCCTGATGGAAGCGGCGCGCAACATGGAAGAACGGCTCGTCAACGAATTTGGCCTGGCAGTGATTTACGACGACGCACGCTCGATTGGCAAGCGCTATCAACGGCAAGACGAACTCGGCACACCCCTCTGTGTGGCCTTTGACAGCGAAGGCATCACTGTTCGCAATCGCGACACTTCCAAGTCGGAGCGCATGTCCGAGGAGGACGCCATTCAGCTGATTGTCTCGACGGCGCGGCTTCCTCTTGCCTTTGATGCGCTTCCACCGCTTCCACGAGATGTGTCACTCGCAGCGGCGTAGTGCTACGAACAAGCAAGAAGGAGAAGAATGCCATTGCACTAAATGATGTATTTTGTATTTTGTAGCGACGATACAATGATTTTTTTCAACTGTGTGCTAGTTCAGCATTCACTGTGGCAGATACTGCTTTTTGTTGTTGTCGACGCTGCTTCCGACTTGCAGGTGCACCTCCACGATTGGCACTTTCATTCGGATGGGTTTGTCTCGAAGCTGCTGATGATGCTCGAGGCGCTATTGGCTCTGTTAGAGGCACAGGTGCATGATCAACACTATTTGAGCTGCTAGGGGTGGTCGAACCGGATGGGGCGGATGAATCGGCGAGAGCAGTTGGTGGCGGTGTTTCGACCCATTGCGCATGGGTGGCTTCTAGCATGGCAAAATACGCCAGCCTGCCTTCCGTTGACTGCAACAGCATTGACTTGTACTCTTGATGCAGGCCGTCGAAGGTAAAAATACCAACGGCACTCACTGGAACGTGAATGTTCAATGCGCGTGCGATTTTCCGGCGATTCAAGGCAAACACCACCGGCCGGTCTTGTGCGTGTGCTTCCGTTAAAATTGAGCTTATTGCATCGTCCAGGCCACCTGGAGGCAACGAAGGAACAGAGATGTTGACGTTGGTGAGCTCAGAACAAAACGCGTGCAGCCTTGCCAAAGCATCTTACCCGCCGAGCGCACGCTCTCAATGTCTGGCGCAACGATGAGACATCGCAATTTGCCTCGTTGAAGATGCTTGAACACTTCCTTGAGGCCAACGACAAACCAGCGGCGCTGTTTGGCCTTGTTCGGGTCTATTGTGGCGAGTCGTCGTTCTTGGAACTTGTGGAGTTGTTTCAGCACAATCGCTGTAGCAGAATCAAGCTCAGCGCCGACCTTTTGACTGCAGTACCTGTGGGATTGCGGGAGAGAATGTGAGTGCACAGAATGAGCAAACACAACTCGGACGAGACAATGCGAACAGCGCTTTACTCGCGAAACCTCGCTGAATGGTGCTTCATGGCAGAACTAGTGATGCGAAATCTGTGCATAGTAGCAGTCAATCTCTCAGCAGCGATGACTTCCGGGTCGAATTCGTCGTCGCCGGCGTCGTCGTCGCCATTGTTGTCCTTTTCGCGAGTTTCCATTTCGGATGCAGAGGTGGACGCTTGATGCATGTCAGAGCTGTTGCCAGGACGCGAGTCTTGTGTAGCAGTTGTACTGGTGCTGGCAACAGCTTCTGGCATCGCAGGAGCAGTTTGAGGTGAAGATGGTTGCAACACGGCTGATTCAGTAGCTGCTGCAGATGAACTAGCGGAGGCTTTGCCAGCCAGAGCAACCCGCTTTCTCAATTGCCGATCTCTTCGAATGATCTTTCTCATCCGCGATGGCCGGTGCCGTTTCGTCGTGGCACGACTCTGTTTCCCAGCTCGAATCGCCGGCGAGGATCCGTCCAACTTGTTTGGATGTGCGCTCCGCCCGTTGAATTTACTCGACGCTGCTGCGGCATGTCTTGGCAGTGCTGCTTGAGCAGTCGGAGCCATCGCTAGTACGCGCCGCCTTGTTATCTGAGACACGGATGCGGTTGCGGGTGTCACTTCTGAGCGGATTGTTTTGTTTGTCCGTTTTGGGTTTGACATGTTTGTTGCGATCGAGATCAAGTCTGCAATCGTCAACGCCCGTCCGCGCGCATTCTTGCCATTGCCTGGCACAGCTCCTCCGACACCATGACTACTAGTACTACTATGACTACTGCTGGTGGATGCTCCGGCGGTCGTGGTCATCAGGTCTGTCGGGACTGCGTTCGCTGGCAATGGAAGCAGTCCAGGTCGAGCCACCCTTGCCGCGCTACTCGGGGTCCCTGCTATTCTCACTGCCGAAGTCTGCTGCACTCTGGTAGCGTGTGTTTGGCGAGGTTGCGTTCGCGTTGAGCTCGTTGCAGCGAGCGTGCTTCGCTGCCGTCGCTTGTTCGCAGGCGCGTCCGTCCACCCTCCACCGCCATCATCATCATCGCCATCACTGTGACTGTGACTGGCAGTCGCATGAAGGGTGGCCTGAGGCTGAGGCTGTGACGCAGTGACTGAGCGCGTCGTCGTCGTCGTCGTCGGCGTTTGAGTTGCGCTCAGTCTGAGCATTTCGAGGCCGGCTCAGAAAACCAAAACAAAAAAGCAGACTAAACCGAAGCCCAAACAACAAGAGAGCGCTTTCCAACCCCTCCTGCTTCAGCCTTCCCACAGCTATTGCGTTTTCGCAGTGCTCAAAATTCGAGCCAAGCAAGCTCAAGCCAAGCAAGCTCAAGCCATTCCGAACGCTGATCCAAAGCGAGGGCGATTTCAGAGCTTGTTTGCAATGTATTTTGCTTGAATCCAACAGCGACGAGTTTGGTCTCTTTGACTGGAGTTGCATTGAACAGTCTCTTTTGTTTCAATCACAAATCATGGCAGGCAAACGCAAACCAGCGAAACCGGCGACCAAGCCAGCAGCGACCAGCAACAATGCTAATGCTAATGCTGGCTCTGGATCGGCTGCAGGAGCGAGTGCAGGTGGAGCGACGGGTGGTGCTGCACCACGCGGGACGGACGCCAAGCAGACCACGACGCCGACCGCCGCGCCACCCAAGACAAGCACTGCGAGTGCCAACAGCGCTACTGGTGCTGGTGCTGCTGGAGCTGGAGCTGGTGCCGGTGCTGCGAGCGGAGGCGCGGCTGGAGCGCAGAAGAGCAAGAACAAGAACAAGAACAAGAACAAGAAGCAGAGCGCAGGCGGACGAACGCCATCTGCTGCTGCTGCAAGTGCTGCTGCTGCTGCATCGAGCAAGTCAAAGAGCGCTGCTGCTGGTGGTGGTCGCGGCGGCGGCGGCGGCAGCAGCGGTCGAAATCCCATGGTCGAGCAGATTGCTGCAATGATGGGCATCGATCTGGACGACATCGCCGACGAGGATCTCGAGGATCTGCTTGCTCGTGGCATGAAAGGCATGATGGCAGGCGGCGACGACGACGACGACGATGACGACTACGAGGACGAGGACGGAGACCGATATGCATTCGGATTTGACGACGACGACTACGACGACGACGACGGCTTTGGCTATGGCTACGACGACGACGACGACGAGGATGATGAGGACGGAGCACACGGCGCAGAGAACAAGAACCGACTGTACGAGTTGCTGGGGGTTGAGCGCGACGCCACCATTGACCAAATCCGAAAGGTAAGCTTCACGGCTCGTGTTTCATTCATCAAGCGTGTTGTTTGGAGTACTCAACGTCCCGATTCTCTTTGCGCAGAACTATCGCAAGCTTGCGCTCAAATACCACCCAGACCGTAATCCATCTCCCGAGGACGGCGAGAAGGTAACAAGCGACACGGCCCTTTGAAAATTTGAACAACAACAGATGATTGGCGTTTCAGTCTTCTCACTTTCCCCACTCCCCACTCCATCGATCCCGCTCAACAGTTCAAGGAAATCTCAGCTGCTTATGAAGTCTTGTCCGACGAACAAAAGCGCGCTGCCTACGACCGGTATGGCGATGCCGCAATGAAGGAGGGTCGTGGGCACGGACACCGCCACGGCGGTGGCATGGACGATTTGTTTGCGCACATGTTCGGAGGCGGCGGCCCAGGTATGATGAACAGTTTCCAAAGCTAGCCTTTTGAGCAGGCGTCTGCTGTTGATTGCTCAGTCCTGGTCTCAAACGCGCTCGTTCCACTTGGTTTCAGGTCGTCAATCCGGTATTCCGCGCACCGAGTCGCAACACCACGAGCTTCCAGTCACGCTTGAAGATTTGTACTGCGGTACTTCTGCCATGATGGAAATTTCTCGTCAGATTCTGTGTACTGGCTGCAAAGGGTAAGTTGTCCTTGTTTTTTTTTTTTTTTTTCTGTCAATCTTTGCTTGACCTGGTTTTCTTTCGCGCCACCGCACGTTTGGAAATGTATCTTATCGCTCGTGCTGATTGTTACACTTATTATTGACACTTTCCTCTTGCCAACCAACCAACACAAAAGATTGGGCGGTAAAGACGGCGCAGCTCCGACCAAGTGCAAGAGCTGCAAGGGCAAGGGAGTCCGAACCATGCTTCACCACATCGGTATGGGCATGGTTCAGCAAGTCCAGGTCGAGTGCGACGCGTGCGAGGGCGAGGGTGAAACTCTTGCGGCTGCAAATCGATGCAAGGTTTGCCGCGGCCAGAAGGTCACCACAGAGCGCAAGAACCTCGAAGTGCACGTCGACAAGGGCATGCGTAACGGCCAAAAGATTACCTTTACTGGTGAAGGAGATCAGATGGTAGGGATGCTGTTTTTTTTTTTTTTTGGGCGCTTTGTTGCGGATTTCGGCTTTGTTGCAATTTGCTTGCTGACTGTCTGGCTTTTTCTTCACGCCTCTTGCGCATCAATTTCTCGACACCTCCTTCATCCACAGCCCGGTGCATTGCCTGGAGACGTCATTATCACACTGGATCAGCTCAAGCATCGTGAATTTACCCGCGAGGAAGACAATCTGGATATCATGGTGACGATCGGCCTGGCTGAGGCGTTGTGTGGTTATTCCAAGCTGGTCAAGCATTTGGATGGCCGCATGGTTCTGTTAAAATCGGCTCCTGGCGCCGTGATTGAGAATGGTGAGTTGGAGAATGGACGCGCTAAACTTGGGTTGGAGTTCTTCCCTGCTCACAAACTGTCGTTGCTCTCTTCCATTCTTTTAGGCTCTCGACTTGTGGTGCCGAACGAAGGCATGCCGCAATACAAGAATCCATTTGACAAGGGCGATCTCGTCGTTCATTTCACAGTCACCTTCCCGAAGACGTTCCAAGTCTCGCTCGAGAACGTTAAGGTACGGTTGACTTTTCTGGCGCCATGCAGTGGAATTGTTTTTTGGTTGTTTCGCTTCTTCTCAATTGTCATTTTGATTTGAGCAGATCTTGGAAAAGCTGCTTCCTGCCGCGACTGCGTTTATTCCTCCCGCCGATCCGGACAACGCGGAAGACGCCGAGTTGATGGATGTCGACCCCAAGCAGCGCCACAGCCGAACAAAGCACCGTGGCCAAGCGTACGATGACGAGTGGGAAGACGAGGACGACGAAGGAGACGACGACGATTATTATGAAGACGAGGAGGATGATGATGATCATCATGGCCATAGCCATTCGAATGGCCATGGGCACAGTCATCGCGGCCATGGTCACGGTCACGGTGGTCATGGAGGTGCTCAGCAAATCCCGTGCGCCCAGCAATAATACCGTAGCGCGTTAGTTGTTTCGATGTGTGTGTTTCTGAGAGTTTGTACGATAAAAAGTCCCAATCGCGTGCATAGCATCGACTATCATTCCTTTTAGATTTTATCAGTCTTTGGTTTTTTTTTTTTGTTATTGCTATTATTGCTATTATTTATTTGTATTTGCACTGGCATTCTGAGACACAACTTCTTCTAGATCTAAACATGGAGTCGATTCCCATCAGCTCGACGTCGCAGAGCGAGCCGACGCCGCTGCCGGACTGGTTGTCACAGCGGGCGCTCGCGCTCAAGACTGCCAGTGCAGAGAAGAAGCAGGAGCGCGACGCTGAGGCTGCATCCACGCTGGCGACGCCCGCTGCGTTCTGGGCTGCGTTCGACGCAAGGCGAGCAGGTAACACTGCAACACCTGCTCCAGAAGGGAAGGAGGAGGTTATTCAAGCATTGAATGGATTCAACTATGAGCAACAATCGAGATTAAATTGATCGCTCTCGCGTGGGTCGGGGGATTGGGGATTTCTTTGGGATTGAGTGTTGTACGTTTGAGCGTTGTACTCCACTCCGATCACTCACTTGTCGGTGTGCTTTTGACCTTGATAATTGCTGATTTGGGTGTGTAGAGTTCGACGGGCTAATAACCGGCGGTACAATCGACCAAGTTGCCGCTGATCAACGCATTGCCGAATTGCAGCAGATTGTCTCGGACGCGACACTGTTCTTGCCCGCGTTTGATTTGCGCAGTGCGCAGCAGGTAAGAAATGTAGTGTCTGTGATCGAAGGGTTCTCGTGATAATGCTGAGCAGATCTCTCCAAACCCTGAGGTCTTGGTTGATGTCATTCGCCGAGCTCACACACTTCGTCACTTTTTTGCACGATCGCGCTCTCATTTGACCGAAAACAGCAAATAGTTAACTTGCAAGAGCGATGCCAAGCAGCAATGGCAGCGAACGCGCCAAAGAAAAAGTTTGCCTTCAAGGCGAAACCTGCCGCGACGGGAGCGCCCAAAGCCGCCAGTGTCGCAGCGCCTTCCATACCAGTTCCTGATGCGAATCGGCCCACCAGTCACGTCGAGCATCCAGCAGTGCCGAAGCCAGTTGAGAAAATTGGTGCCTCTGAAGGCTGCACTCTCGAGGTGCTTTCTGGCAATGCCGCACGAGCATTATCTGATATCTCCAACCGGCATGTGCTGGTGCAGCAAGCGGACGGTGAAGAATCGACAACGTCGTCCGGATCGGACAGCACAATATGCATTTCCAACGTTACGAACAGCACGGTCGAAATGGCATTGACAGGGTCAAGTGCTCGACTGCTCAATGTACGATCGAGCCGCATCCTATTGGGGCCCGTATCTGGCTCAGTTTTCCTCGAGAATTGCGTCAATTGTGAAGTATATTTGACAGCGCAGCAGGTATGTCAGGGCTGAATGGGGTAGAGGCGAATGTTTGAAGTCTGTGCTGTTGGCGGCCCTCTTTGATCTCTCCGATTCATCTCGCTCTTGATTGTTGTTGTTTGACCTGATGTCTAGTTTCGTGGGCATCACTGCCATTGGACCCGAGTTGTTTGCCATTTAACCGCCAAGGGCATTATTGAAGATTGCACAACCATGCAGTTTGGTCGGTTGCGCGTGGCTCCTGCTTCAGAGCCATTGTATCAAGCACTATTCAAGGTACGAGGGATCCAAACAGTGAGGTGTGGTTGATAAGGGACCGCTCGGAGAACTAAATCGTTCGCGATGTTTTTTTTTTTTTTTTGTTTTGCTGGTATTTTATTCTTGCTGCACAGGCGAGTCGGCTCGATGCTTCGAAACCCAATCACAGTCACCAAATCGATGACTTTATGTGGTTGCATGCAGCAACACCATCGCCCAATTGGACTCCTATCGATGACGACCACTGCGAACCACTTTGCTTTTCCACTCCACCAGTCTGAGACGAGTCCGTTGTTGCTTATTGTCGCTTCTGAATTGTGCAAGGGCAATACACCAGTGTGATTCGTTCATTGAATTGCGGAGTCTGTCTGGCTTGTGTTGGTCCAAAAATGTGTTTGCTGCCATTTCGAACAGGCGCGATTGATTTTTATTCTTTCTTTCAGTGCAAATTCGCTCCTGCTTTTTGAACGCAGATTTGTTTCTATGTGGAAGAATCGCACACGGAGCTTTGTTGTTTGGAATGCTTTGCGTTTTCTCAAAAAGAAACGAGAACGAAACGTCAACGCTCAGTCCTTTTTTTTTTTTTTCTCAATCCTTCGTTTTTCGTTTTGTTTTTTCTTGGTAAGTTCTTTGTGTGGGCATTGACAATTGACAATTGACATGCAGAAGACACCTCGAGCACGATTATTCTACAGATTGAAGCTCACTGAGCTGGATGAGTTTCCTTACAAGAGCGAAGAGTGAGATTGAGAGTTGACCACAAACGCCGAACCCAGCTTTCGTTTCTCTTCGTCTGCCGAACCCTTCTTCCCTTCGTCCTTCCTTGCCATTCCTTACCATTCCTTACCATTCCATCTCCTCTCACAATAATCAATTCAATTCAATTCACTTCAGTTCAATTCAATTCAATCCAAATCTACTTTCATCATTATGCTTTTGCATTGAAATTGAACTCATCGTTTTTTTACATTGAAAACAGAAAACACAACAAAATGGAAGAATCGGGAAACCAAACCGCGAGTCAGAGTCAGAGCGAGAGCGAGAGTCAGAGTCAGAGCGAGAGCCAGACGCAGTCCCAGAGCCAAACTCAGACTCAAGCTCAGACTCAGAGCCAAACTCAGACTCAAGCACAGGCACAGGCACAGGCGCACGGACTGATGCTGCCGCCAGACTGGGCCGCACTGGTCGCAAGCCACAGCCGCTCCAGAACCATCCACCCGAGTACAAGCACTGGCACTGGCACTGGCACTGGCACGACCACTGGCGCTGCGACAAACGCGACGACTGGCGGCTTCCCAGTCCAGCACCTGATGCCAAAGAGCGAGACGGGCGCAGACCGCTTTGTCGCAGATCACCCGACGTTCGACGGCCGCGGCGTCGTCGTCGCCATCTTTGACACGGGCGTCGATCCGGCTGCTGCGGGGCTCCAGGTCACGTCGGACGGGCGACCAAAGCTGATTGACACGATCGACGCGACGGGCTCGGGCGACGTCGAAATGCTCACCGTCCGCTCGCTCAACCCCGACGGACGCACGGTCGATGCTGCTCCCACCAGCGTCTCAGCGGCCGCAGGACTGAAGCGCAAACTCACCCTGCCGCGCGAGTGGATTGCAAGCAACCCGACGGGCGTCTTCCGTGTCGGCACCAAGCGCGCCTACGAGCTGCTTCCCAAAGTGCTCGTCGCTCGCCTCAAGTCTGAGCGCAGAAAGATTGTCGAGCTGGAGGAAAAGCAGCTGATGGCCGCGTTGCAGCAGCAGCTCGCGTCGCTGCATGGCTCAAGCTGCAGCGTCCCAGCGTCCACGGCCAACGTTGCGGCGCCCGCAGCCGGTGCGGTCGGCGCGAATGCTGCCGCCAACCGTTTGCTCGCCTCGCCGCTCGAGATTGAGTTTGCTGCCTCGCCGCTGTCCACGCGATCAGATCCGCAGCCCGCGCCGGCGGTGGCATCCAGCTCTGGTGCCACGACTGCTGCCACGGCTGCTGCCACGGCTACCTCTGCCGCCAGCGCTGGTGCGACCACCACTGCCCCCACGGGCTCTCCAACAGCCGAAGAGCGAAGGCGCCTCAAGGAGGATTTGGAAGCGCGCATCGAGCAGCTGACCCAGCTCACGCGGTCGCTGGAGGATTGCGGGCCAGTGTACGACTGCGTGGCCTTCCACGACGGCAGCCATTGGCGAGCAGCGCTCGATACGACCGAGACGGGTGACTTTTCGTTCGCCACGCTGCTGACCGACTACTACACGGAGCGCCGCTTTGCCCAGTTTGGTCTGGATGATATGGCATCGTACGCCATCAACATTTACGACGACGGCGCCATTGTTTCTGTCGTCGTCGATGCCGGAGCCCACGGGACCCATGTCGCTGGCATTGTTGGCGCCAACTTCCCTGACGAGCCGAGCCGCAATGGAATGGCGCCTGGTGCGCAGCTCATCTCGGTCAAGATTGGTGACACGCGCTTGGGCTCGATGGAGACTGGCACGGCGTTTGTGCGAGGCCTGACCCACGCTCTGAAGCGCAAGGTCGACCTGATCAATCTGAGCTATGGCGAGCCGACCTCTCTGTGCGAGCAAGGGCGGATTATCGAACTGTGCTCGGAGATTGTCAACAAGCACGGCGTGATTTTTGTCTCGAGCGCTGGAAACAACGGACCGGCGCTGACGACAGTGGGCGCGCCCGGCGGTGTGTGCTCTGCAGTGATTGGCGTGGGTGCCTATGTGAGCAACGACATGATGCGAGCCGAGTACTCGATGCACACGCCGGCCGATAACGCGCAGTTCACCTGGTCTTCGCGCGGCCCTTCCGCGGACGGCCACCTGGGCGTGAGCATTAGCGCCCCTGGCGCTGCCATCGTGTCTGTTCCGACATGGACGCTCAAGTCACAGCAGCTCATGAACGGAACGTCCATGGCATCCCCCAACGCGTGCGGCGGTCTGGCGCTTTTGCTTTCGGGTTTGAAGGCCCTGCACATCCCATACACGCCCCACCACATTCGTCGCGCGGTTGAAAATACAGCCACCAACCGCGACTGCATTGAGCCGTTTGCCATTGGTCATGGACTGCTTTCCATCCCGCATGCGTACAAGTACCTGTGCGACTTTCACAATGTTTCGGACATGGATGCCGTGTACACGGTGACTCTGCCCGACCGTGGCGACGCGCGAGGCCTGTACTTGCGCGAGCTGCACGAAAACTTGCAGCCATTCGAAGAACAAGTCCATGTCAATGCAACCTTCCGCGAGGACACGGACAACAACCAACAGCGGGTCGCCTTTGAGGCGCGCTTCCGCTTGGTCAGCACTGCTCCGTTCGTTCAGTGCCCCGACCATCTCGTGTTGATGCACGAAGGCCGGTCGTTCCACATTCGTGTGGATCCCACCGCTCTTCCGCTCGACGGCAGCGTTCGCTACGGAGAAATTCTTGCATTCAATGTCGATGCTCCCGCGCGTGGCCCAATCTTCCGCTTGCCCATCACGGTGATTCGCCCACTCCCTGTGCTGGGTCGATCGATCGGTGCACCTTTGCGCCAGACGTCGGAAGGCCGCGTGGCAGGCTCATCGGCCTCGGGAAGCGGAGTTGTTGGTTTGCCATTGTCACAACAGCAGCAGGAGCAGCAGTCGCATGACGCTACGGCCCTGCACGAGGATCCCACGCCACACCTCATCCGTTTCCGTCGCTTGCCACTGAGTGCTGGCCGTGTGGTTCGCAAGTTTGTGACGGTGCCCTCTGGCGCCAGCTGGGTCGAGGTTCGTCTCAGCTTGCGCGGGGCCACCCTGGATGCCCGCCGCTTTGTCTTGCATGCTCTGCAGCTTCAACCGCAGCGTCGCTACAACACCATGGAGTATCACAAGCTGTCCACAGTGGTGCAAGACACTCCGTCTGTGCACAAGTTTGCCGTCCTCCCAGACGTGACCCTCGAGCTCTGCATTGCCCAGTGGTGGGCCTCGGTTGGCGACACCGAGCTGGATGTCACTGCCGAATTTTCGGGCTTGCAGTTGCTTGGCGCGTCCAACGCGGGCATCCACCTGAACGGATCGGAACTGGCCGCGCGCGTGGACATTACCTCGCCTCTGCGGCGTGAGGAGGTCATGCCGTCCATTACTCTCAAGACTTGGAGACAAGCGCTCAAGCCGGGCGAGTACCGCATCGCGCCGCTCTCGACGGCTCGTGACACATTGCTGGATGGACAACGTCTCTACGAGCTCGTCGTGTCGTACAAGTTCTCCCAGGCTGATTCCATGGAGGTGCAAATCACCGTCCCAGTCGTCTCAGACCTTCTCTACGAGTCGCCCTTTGAGGCCCAGTTCTGGTCTGTCTACGACAGCAACAAGCGCCGCCTCTTTTCGGGAGACGCCTTCCCGAGCCACTATGCGCTCAAGCTGGACAAGGGAGACTATGTGGTTCGCCTGCAACTCCGACACGAAAAGATTGACGTTCTGGAGCGCTGCAAGGACTTCCCTGTCATGATTGAGCGCTCGTTGACAAAGTCTCAGGAGGTTTCCTTGGACATTTTCCCATCCTACAAGGCGGCGTTGGCAAACGGCGCTCGCGTGCGTGCGCAAACCGTCGCACCGGGCTCCATCCTGCCATGCTACATTGGCTGCGCATTGCCCGCCTCTCGCCTTCCTCGTGACTGCCGCGCTGGTGACCAACTCGTCGGAGCCCTGTGCCTGAGCAAGCAGTTCACCCTCGGCAGCAACACTTCTGCCGAGGCCGTTCGGCGTCTGCCTGCATCCGTGCCCATCACGCTCTCCATTTCGGCAGCCTCCTTCACGTCGCCAACTGCTGTGGCCATCGAGTTGCCCGCCACATCTTCCTCCTCCTCTTCCTCCACCGAACCAGAGCTCACGGAGGTGGATCGCTTCCGCAACTCTGTGCGCGACGTCATGATTGCCGGACTGGCGCGTCTGCACACCAAAACAGCTCGCGCAGACTACGACCAAGTTTACGCGAGCCTGCTGCAGCTGCATCCTGACCACCTTCCTTTGCACGTCGCTCATCTGCAGGCCATTGACACGCCCGACAGCAAGGATCGTCGTGAGATTTTGCCGTCGATTTTGGCTGCCGCAGACCAAGTCGTGCAACTGTGCGCTCCAGCTGCGCTGGCTGCACACTTTGGCGTGAATCACGATGCGTCCACTCTCGGCCAGGCAGAGGTGGCCAAGACGCGCAGGGCGATGGAGTCCAAGCGCGACACTCTTGTGGATGCGCTCGCTCGCAAGGCCCGTGCCCTGGTTGAGCTTGGTGCTTGCAACTTTGGCTCTGCGCCGTTTATCAACCGACACCGCGGAATCGAGGCTGATGCGACCGCGTCTCGCCCAGTCGCGGAGGCTCGCGTGTCGAGTCCGACCCCCAGCAGCGTTTCGCCCACCATTGCCACAACGGCGGCGGCTGCTGCTGCTGCTGCTGCCGCTGTTCTGTCTCAAGAGATTGCTCGAGATGATTCTGCTATTGCTCTCACGCCTGACGTTTCCACCGCCGAGGCGGATGCTGCCAAACCGAGTGACAAGGCTATCGTGTTGTCTTCGTTTGACGCAATGCTGCAGGCCGCTCTCCCCACCCAGACAAGTGCTTCTGCCATGCTGTCCTCGGGCACCGCGTCGGCAGCAGATTCATCAGCCACGTCAACCTCATTGAACCAGCTGCAACTCGATGCAATGTTTGACACGACCATGGCCACCTTGTCCGAGTGGATTAGTCTGCAAGATGCCAAGGTGGTGCATCTGTTTGTGCATCGCGAAGTTGGCCGCGGTCGCTTTGGCGCTGCCCTGCGCGCCGTCAACAAGCAGCTCGGTCTTGATGCCTTCCACATGCAGTCTGCGACGTTGCAGGCTGCCGTGTACGAATTGCGCTTTGCCATCGTCCTTCGACTGGCCTGGCACAGTCTGGCCGCGAACGAGCGTCGGTTCCAGCTGATTCGCTTCCCGCTCAAATATGCTTCCTTTTGAGTTGCAGCTTTGCGCAGTTTTTGTTTATCTCATTGCCTTTTTTTTTGTGTGTGTGTTTTGCGCTCATTTTGTGTTCAATCGACGTTGGATTTTGGATTACATGGAATGAATTAACATGATCTATTCACATTTGGCCAATTGCACTCAAGCAGACATCAACGGAGCCAAAGTCGAATCAAACGAATTAAGAAATGTCAAAATCAACGACACAGTTGTTGTAAAAAAACAAACCAATCTTCCTGTTGCTGCACACTATTGGGAGTCTTGCGGGGCAGTATAGACTGGCGCTCGCTTAACTTGCATATAGACATCGCCGGAGGGCGCAATAACGGGCACAGCAATCGCTCCAGAGGTGCTGGCCCGGGTGGGTACCGAGGCATACGCGCTTTCTTCCGAGCCCACAGCGGCATAGAGCGACTCGATCGGGGCATCCTCGGCCTGCGGCTTGGCGTACACGGACTTTTTCTTGCTCTTGTCCACTTGCGCATACTGGGAGGCGCGGTTGTCCGCGTCTTGCGGGGATTGGTACGCTTGCGGTTGGGCGGCCGTCGGCATGGCGCTGTAGTGCGACAGTGCTCGGCCGACTGGCTCGTACGTCATGGAGCCGCTCTCGTACGGGCTCTCGGCCTTTTTGCCGAGTGTGCCAGCGGCCGAACTGCGATGAGGATCGCGACCGACGGTCTCGTACGTTGTTGACACTGAGTCATAATGGCCGCTGCCCGAAGCGTCTTGCGGCGCAGCGTAGCCCGAAGCGCGAGCGGTCGAATACAAGTCATCTCCGGGCCTTGAATACAGGGCAGCCTTGGCGTAGTCTGGCTCTGTCCTTTGTGCCATCGGACTGATGAGAGAGGGCAAAGCAAAACAAAAAAGAAAATCGAACAAAAAGTGAGCAAAGTAAGCACAGGAAAGCGAATTGAGAGAAGATCGAGGTTGAGAGAATTTGTTACTTTTGTTGCATTTCGATCATTTGAGGGCCAGGCTTGAAGGCACGGTCTCGGCGGCGTCTGACCAAAATGGTGGTAAGGGGTGGAGAAGCAAAGAAGCAAGTCAGTGAACGCTGCAAGAGTGGGGTTTTAGTCTCACACAAGAACGGAAAGTTGGACGTACTTTACGAGAACCAGAATGATCACGATAGCAAGAACGGCAAAGAGAGGCCCAATCACAGCGCCGATGGGGAAGGAGCTGCTGGCAGCATTGGTTGTTGGTTGCGAGCCAGAGCCAGAAGTGGAGGCCGACGCAGAGGCAGGGGTTGCCGAAGGTGCCACTGACGGAGCAGTCGTGAGTGCACGCGGTGTGGCGCTCGACGATTCAGCAAACTTGGTGGTCGAAGCCGCAGCATCAGAGGCGGATGATGCAGAGGCAGCCTTTGCGGAGGCAGAAGACACAGAGGCGACGATCGCGGAAGCGGAGGAGGCAGAGGCAACCTTTGCTGTGGCGGATGATGCCGAGGCAACCAAAGCGGATGCGGATGACGCGGAAGCAACTGTGGCTGAAGATGCAACCACAGCCGATGAGGACGAGGCAACTGCAGCTGCTGACGACGACGCCGCTGCATCATCTGATGACGACGGTGCGGACGTCGTGCCAGTGGGCAGTTGGGTCGAGGAAAACGCAGCGCTAGACCCATCGTCAGAGACGGAGCCAGTGCCCACAACAGCAGATGGTACAGAGGTCGCACGATACGATTC